CGCCATCCAGTTAGCCTTACCCTGCAATGAAGAAATGCAGACTGTGGCATTAGGACTCGGGCTGAAACATTCACCTCTTGTGCAGAGGGCTGACACATTTTTTTTATGCTCTTCTAAAGGACGATCCACTTTTTTCATTTTACCTCCACCTTTCAAAGCTAACTGTATGAAATCACAGAATGCTGTTGTACCAAGTCATCCTGTCACCATCAGGCCTCATCTGGCGATTCATCAGGTGGCTCAGTTTGATTATACAGCTGTAAAGAATGTGTACAAGGGGAGTCATATTTCTTTTACTCTCTGAGTAATGCATAAAAAAACATTTATTTGTGATATCTCTGTATGAGAAAAGACTTTGCATCTGCTGATAGTATAAAAGCTGAACCTTTTATCTGCTTTATGACTCAATAAATCAATCACTTTTCTGCTTTCTGTTGAATCAAGGACCAAAACTTGAATGAGGACATGTCAGCATGCACAAACAAAGCAAGTTATGCTGCAGTTATGTGATTGAAACAATAAACGCAGCTGGAGAGAAGGATCGCATGAAGGGCAACTGGAAAACGTTTACCAGTAAAACCTTTCCAAGTCCAGTGACAGCTAAACAACACAGGAATCAAAATCCAATCTGACTAGCGTGTGGTCAATGTTTCAGATGTATACAGTGTTTATTCCTCCCTGACAGTCTTGCAGGACAAATACTGGCACAGAATCCCAGTTTGAGACAACAATGAAACAACAAAATAGGAAACCATTTGGGAGTATTTGTTGCCAGCGAGGCAGAACTTAAGCCCTGTTGGGGGTGTGGGATGGGATTGGGGTGTATGTTTGGAAAGTAACAGGCCAACTTTCTCCCTGTCTTCCTTTTGCAGGTCATTAACACAAGTGATGACTGTAGGGGTCACCAGAGGTTCCCAGGTCATGCCACTTCAGGAATCTGAAGGTCTCACCTCCCACAAGGGAGACGGGAACTAAACTGATATAAATAGCTGCTGAATCATTGATCCAACAGATGAGTAAAGCTGTCAGAAACAGATAAAATGTATATGGTAGATACAGCTGGGCAGCTTAAAGTCTTCAGCTCCAGCCAGATGGAAGGCATAGTTTATGGTTCCTGGCTGCAGATGAAAGCCCCCTAGGGGCAGAGCCTGAAACATGCAGCACTTAGGTTAGATCTTTTAACTTTCACTGGAAATACTGACATTTGAAAGACAAATGATGGATTGTTAACTAGAGCATGTGAATATTTTCTTTATTTACATCTGCAAGGGGCTGATATTCACCATCTTTCAGTGTCTGTGAGAAGAGAGTCTGAGACCAGTTTCACAAAGCAGGGAAACTCTGGGTTTCACAAAGAAGGTTTACTGAACCTTTGTTTCTGTTACCATAGCAACATTTTCTTCGAGCACTAACCTGTTTGGGAGGAGGCTTTTTTTCAATAAACACAGAGTGTCTGCACTCTCCTTAAAGCCAATTAGGATTAGGATTCAGTTTTAATAACAAACTGTTTATTTTTGGTCCCAGATACTCAGTAGCACAAACGCGTAATATTTGTCTGGTTAATTTTTTGTTTGGTCAGGCAAAGATGAGCATTTGGCTCAGCAGGAGAAATAAAATGAAGGAAAAAGGCTTTGTAGATGTTGACCTGATGTTCAGAGGGCTGGTAGCTGCACGTCTTAGGACAGAGATTGCCTATTATAAGATGGTGTCAGACTTGAAAGAGTTCATTTGTATATGAGGAGGTAGAGATATTTTATGTTGTGTAAGTGATGAATTGCTCTCTCTCTCAGTTTTTGAGGGTTTAAATTTTTTATTTTTTTTGGATTTCATCCTGTTAGGTTGAGTTCATGTATATGATTCACTTGTGAGTTTGTATTATAATGACACATTGGACCAATAAAAGGGAGTTCATGGTCTCCTTAAAGCCAATGACTTTTTATTTCCTGATTTAATCTGCAAAGTACTGTTGTAGTTTTGTGCAAACAATGAAAAGAAATCATTCATGAAGTCCGTTAGACACATTAGGTGCTAAAACACAAACATAGCGTGTCCTTTTAACTAGAATTCAAATAAATAATGAGCAGTATTGATTCAAAGAGAATTAAAAATTTATAGGGAGAGGCTTTTCAGACTGTGAATGGATGTCCGTTTATATTCAGAAAGTTATCTTTACAGTTTCACCCCACAATCCATCACATAGATCAACAAGCTTATCCGTCCTCACATTAGCAGCAGTATTTAGTGATGTATGATAACAGCATATTAGAAAACAACTGCACAGTCAGACAGCCACTTATTTACTCTTTAATGGCGGACAGACAAAATGAGGAGGAACCCCATGAGACGATGCAAAGGTCCTACCTGTTTGAACAACATTTTTTTACTTCATCACCTGCTGACATGTGCATCTCTACCCCGAGAGATTGCACCAAAATATAACGTCAACTACCATCGCACCAGTAAACTAGTTTTCTCTCTTTAATGTTATTGTTTCTGATATCATAAATAATTTTTTTCCTTGTCAAAATGAACATTTCAAACAAAATGACATCATTCGCATCTAGTATAACATTCTGGATGTCTAGAAGTTAAATTCAGATCTCCATATTATATTGTTACTGGTCATAATTTATATTATATTGATTAGGAAGAAATGTTTTTCAGATCTCATAAATACACATTCAGTCAAACTGATCAATGTCAAAATGGCCGCATAAAATGTGTAAACATTTCTAGGTATACAAAACTAAAGTATTACATGCAAAAAATTATTTTTCTAGTTTCTGAAATTCAGTTTCAGTTCAAAAATGTAATGTAGAAAATCTGCTAGTTCCAACTAGGAATTAGAATTTTACCAGGAAGAATCCTGTTTTAATAATCTACAAATCAGACAATAGAGAGGAGTGCTTCTAATAAATACTAAAATGGCCTGCCATTGTAGAATTCATATCAAACGCATTAACTCAAGTGGCGATCCTTTTCTACACCATCTCTCTCTCCTTTGCAGCTGTAGCACTGTTCCCCTTTCTTTTAAACACATTGTACAATTTCAGTCTGTCATTTGTGCATTAATAACATCTCTAGTTCCAGTGGGGTGAAAAAGACACTTCCTGTTGTCATGGTGACTTGTCATATGGGTGCTCCACTGAAATGGCTTTTCATAGTTGTTTTGCATGTGCTCAACTCCAAGTGGACCTAGTCAGAGTTGATTTTATGAGGCCGAAAAATCAATGAATTTTTTATTTTACTAATTTACATCATGTCAAGCTTCAAATTATTTTGATCTGTGTGTAAGTATGAACGATTCAAGGTCTGATAATATATATATATATATATATATATAAAAAAAATCTAAACTCTAAAAGTGTGGCAGACACCAAATGTCTGCCACACTTTTCAATTCTTTGGTGTTCATGGGTTAACTAGCTCTGAGCATTTAGAGTTCAGAGGATTTTTTTGCTGATTCTTCTTTTAAAAAAATCAATAAAGAGCTGATAAAAATGCATCTCATTTAAATCTGGACTTCGACTGGGATATCCAAATCAATAAACATGATCTAACCAGTCCATCCTATAGTATGGAGGCAAGGAACAGTTTCAACCCTTTTTGGAGAATCAACCTTTAGTCTAGCATTTAGTTATTATATTATAAGTTTAAGGTTGTGGTCCAACTGTTTTACTTATGTTTTTCTTTATCTTTATTTGCCTTCATTCTGCTCTACTTTTCTTCATCACCATCTAATCAATGTAAAGAACTTGAATTGTCGTAGTAGTTAATTGTGTTATACAAACTAACTTGCCTTTTATCATTTGACTCTGTTTCTAAGAGATAGTTTTAATCAGACAAACCTCATGAAACCAGTGTAGCACTGGACTAAAGTTGGGCAAGAAAGCAGCCAGAGTTTTCAGAAAGTCCAAAAAAAACCATCAATCAAGACCCCTTCTAAAAAGAAAAGGAACCGTGGAAGTGGATGCAGAATATAAAGGTCTACAGCAGTGTAAACATTAGTTATGAGATGGGTTAAATCACAACACTCAGCATGTTCCACTGGCCATCGTCTAACCTTTCCATGCTGCTGTGCTCTCCATGGTTCAGTTGACCCTCAACCTTACCTTATGTTGTGTGTTTGCAGCGGCTCCTTGGACTCTGTGTCCCTTTTTGACTGCAGACTAAACACCCACAGCAGCAAGATGAGCAAATTCAGCACAGCTTATTTCTAATATGGATCAAAATGGACCGCAGGCACAGCTTGGAGACCCACTGGAAAAACCAGCAGAGTTCCCGAACTTCTTACTCATATTTCCACTGAGCCAGATTTAGTACCAAAATAAGACAATTTAAAGCATAGAGATAAAAACTTTCTTTTATTTAAGTCTTAAATTGCATTGAAATTAAAAATCTAGGAGTTCTCACTCAACCCTTCTTCAACCCATCCTGCCGTATCGCTTGTGGATTATGTGCTTTAAACTTTTCAGGAATCTGCTCACATCCTTGAGTGTCGATGTTTCAAACTTAATCCTAATAACTCTTCTATAATTAGTTTGGCATGTCATTCATGCAGCTGGCCAAAGCCCCAGAAGCCTTTTAGGGATTTATTCAAACCTGCAATTAAGACGTGTGGTGATGAGCACATCTGGGAAATCGAGGCCTTTTTGCCTCCACTCGAGCGGCCGGATAATAACAGAGCTAACTGACGACGACCGATGCTACAGGAGGATGAGCAGAGCCACCGCAGACCAGAATGTCACTGCGATTAGAGCAGAGATAAAATAGATATGTGTTTTTGTTGTGGGGAATGAGGCAGCCATCTTGGGAGTTTGTAGGGGTGAATTTGCAACTATTAGGCCCTGCCTCTTCTCTGAATGAGCCCGACCGGAGACACGAGGGGTTAGATGCCACATAGCAGAGTTACAGTGGACTAAAGGTGAGGTTGGCAGTCTGCGTGTCACCTCATTGTTGGAGGATCATCAGCCACAGGGGAACCATAAAAGAGCACATACCTAGGTTTACTGTCCCCAAAGCGTTGCAGACTCCACAGGATGGTAAATATTGTCTCTCGGGTTTCAGTTTAACCTTCTTCACCCAAAGACCTCAAGTCTTGCCCTTCCTCGTTTGCCTTCGACGCTGCGTGGTGTCTCAAATCTTCATGATTTACAGAGATTGTGACAAAGCAACCAAAAAGCAAGCGGTGGCCTTATTTACATGGTTACGTACTAAATTCAGCGTTTGACTGAAAGCAGAGGAATGTGTTTACTTGAGAGGGGAGGGAGGGTTGGAGCGGTTTTGTTTGCATTTCGGCTGTTGTCTTAACGTCAGCTCCACCACCAACCAGGATTCACTGCTGTTTATTTGGACACTAGCTCTGACCCCTGACCTCTCCAAATGTGGTGGTTAATCCTGCTCACAGCTACTGTGTAGCCAATAATTCCTCCCCCTGGAAAAATGAACTGCCTTACATGTAAACAAGGGTTTAAAAGGTCTTGCGGGGTGGGGGGGTGGGTGATAACTCATTGATAACAATGAGTTATGAAACTGTGGTGTTAAGCTCAGAAGCTAAATTACCTTTCAAGCTTAAGAACAAGTGGAAGTCATGTGAACATTTAGTTATATATCCCTCAATATATATCCATATATAAGAATATCTTGTTTTGTATTGGAAAATGTTTACATAATGATGTCTAATCGAATTTTTTTATACCCCAGTAAAAAGTGTGCTTATGAAAAAGTAACGGCACCCTAACCCCTAATAGAAAGTCTTGCTGCCACTTGCTGAAATCATTTATTTGAAATGCTTCTGGCGGTCATCTACCAGCCGCTGAAATCAGGCAGGTAAGGTTGTTTCTTGTGTGTGTAGCCTATTCCAAGTCACTACAGATCTTAATGAGATCAACACCAGGAATTTCACTTAGCCCAGAATTTTCTATTCTTTAATATCAAGCCAATCTGTGAAGGTTTTACTGTTATATTTGTGGTTGATTATCCTGTTGCAGGGCAGTTTTATTTTGTATATATAATCTCAGTTCTCCAATAAACCCTCTGAGACTCTTTGGCGGATGGGTAAGAGGACAAGCTCTCACCTGCGAAGAAGGATCCTAAAACCATGACATTTCCACCCCCATGCATGAAGATGAACTGTTGGAACAAAATTTTTTCCCTTAAATTCTGTATTTGGTTTGTTGTTGGACATCTTAAAGTGCCCAAATGATGAAGTGCTAGACTTCTCATCCAACCACCATTGTTCCAGAGATCTGAGTCTTTGTAGATGTCCTCTCATTCTAACCCTTCTCTGGTCTTCAGGTTCTTCATAACGGAGCAACGTTGTCGTCGCAAGAGGGGTCAACTCTAAAAGTACATCAGTGATCGTTTCAGTTGGTAACAGAATGAACCAAATAAAAGGAGGCCACACTGGTCTGATTTAAATCAGCATCAACATGGAGTTTTCCTCTAGATACAGTTGACTTGAAAGAGCTCTAGGTAAATACTACTGGTGATAAAAATAAACACAAAGGCGCATCACACCAGAGATTTTTGGGAAAATATTGTCTGAACTGAAACGAAAAAAGTAAAGATTTTTGGAAGATTTATATTCTATTCCATTAGGTATAAAACTTGCATCACGTCAGGAAAAGAACATCAAACCAGCTGTCAAATGGGATGTTTGACTTTATAAATGAAAATCAGAATATGAGACGCTGTGTACCACTCTATTTACCAAGGTGATCTTTTATACATAAAACATTTAAAGGTAGTAAAAATGAAGAAATGATAAAGCAGGCAATGCTTTTTCATGACAGCAATGTTTACGTGAATAAGAATGTGCATGTTTTTTGACCTTTTCATCACTCATAAAAAACAGAATGCATTCTTTTTTTTCAAAAACAATACTTTTATATTATACATGTCAAAGACAACTTTTTAGAGTAAAGGTTTTCCCAGAAAAGTTGTACTGTTTCTGTAACAATGACAGAACAAGTCAAAAAAATATCCAGTAAAAAAAAAAAGACAGAGTATGCATTTTATACATATGTAAACCTGGAACAGCTCTTTTTTTTCTTTTTTTTTTATAAGAACAGTGGTTATATACAGAAAACTGGCTTTTCTATTAAACGTTTTAGTGGAATGAACGACTGTAACAAGGAATGGGCTTAAAGATGGAGCCCTTTAAAAAGTCCAAATGGGACAAGGAATCTAATAATCACCAAAGTGCACCAACATGGATAAAAATGTCATCTGAATGTCACGTCTTACCCAGTTTAATAACAAAACAAGTTATGTTGCTGCGGTTTACAAAGCGCCCCACTAAAACAGCTCCTACATGATTACAATCAAATCTAAGGTATATGTTAGATACTGGATTTACAACACCAGCTGTGATGACTTCATATGCTACAGGTAAAAAGTACCCAAACTCCACCTGAACATGAAGTAAAAGAGATCTGACAGTTTGCATACAGTGAAAGTACTAATGTCCTTCAATGCTGGTAGGTGACCCAGGATGGACAGACAGGTAGGCAGTGCATGCAGACTACATCATGCAGAAAGAAAAAAAAGAATGGAGTGAAGTTTGGTTAGACCACCCGAATGAAATCTCAGTTCTGTGAGCTGTAAGAGTCAAAATAAAAGCAGGTCTGCCCCTGAAAAAAATGGACATTTTAATAAAAAAGGAATGTAGTTTTTTTCCCTCCTCTTTTTTTCAGTAACTGGACATTGTTTTTAAGACTAACTGTGAAGGCAGACGGTGCTAGTTTTGGCTTCGTTTGACAAACCAAAACATAAAACAGCAGGAAAGCCACAGGAGTTCTGGGAAGGTTCTCCTCAAGTGAGTTACTGTGTGCAGAGATGCCCTCAGATCCAGCATGAGGTCATATTCACCTCACATAGACTGCAGTTACCTCTGTATACATTCGTTATGCACTATATATATATATATATATATATATATATATATATATATATATATATATAGTAAAAAGGGAATAGAAATACAAAAGTGGATGTCTACCAACTCCCTACAGCATGTTTTCACAGTTCTGCTCTTAGTTTATAACAACTATTTACATCTAAAACTGTGAATTACTTGCACTCTTTGTAATAAAATTACCCATTTAATAGGTTTAGGTAAAGTTTCTTAATCTGAGGTTAGATTAAAAAACAAAAACTTGCTTTCTTCTTTTCAGGGCATGCAACTTATTTTCCAGATTTTTTTTTATCCAGTGGAGATAAAATATTTTCAGTCCAAATGCAAACATATGTGCTGAAATTTTGTTAAGGTTAAACCAATCAGCAGGTAACTTAGATATTGAATTTTTTTTTTTTTTTTTTTTTTTTTTTTTTGACAGTTTTTTGATAGTGAGATGAAAAAATATCTGCTTTGGTATTTTGAATTGGTAAAAAAAAAAAAAAAAAACTAAAACGGGGAATAATGTCTGGAAATGTGGAAAACTTGATTTAATTGCAAAGAAAAACTGAGGAGCAGATAACTGATTACACCTTATTATTTTAAGGAACTAATGAGGATGATCTTATTAACCTTAAAAGGTCAGCCTTAGATTCTTTTAATTGGGGTTATGTAAAGAGAACATGAGCAGTTAGTATCTATCCTGCAGGTGGAACTCCCTGAATGACTTCCGTTTGGAAAAGAGGTTAAAAAAAAGGCTTAAACTGAAGAGGAATTCATTTGAATATGTTAATTTAAATAGGTGACATTTTTGCAACTGTGTATATTATAGTTATTATGGTTATTAACAAATAACTGCATCATCAATTTCTCAGTTTTAGAGTCTGCAGCAACAACTTACTGCCTATACCTGTCTAAAGAGCAATGGTTCAAAGATTGAGAAACGGGAAAATAAGGAAAGTCAGATTTCTCACTAATGGTCCACCCCCCCACCCCCCCAGGCAGATTGCTGTTCTAAAACTAAGAGAAACACAGCATCCAGCACATTGAATGGTACAGATATGTGCACAAATATGTGGGGCTTACTGTAACAGTGTTTGTGGTACAGATAAATAAGTGACAGAAAATGCTATAAACATTGATAGGACAGTCAAGGTGCCTTCCGTAACAGTATTAAAAAGGGCCGACAGCACATAAGACCGATAGAAACCATCAGTGTTGTTTTGTAAAGATCAAAGTATTCAATATGTGTATATATATATATATATATATATATATATATAATATAGTTTCTCTTATATATAAATCTACTATAAACAGACACTAAATACACAATTATCCATCATTTTACAAAGTAGAAACGTTTTCATCAACCTGACTGCCCTCCCCCCAAAAATAATCCACAAACCCAAAAATGTTGGCATATAATGTCCATTATGAAACAGTCTGAACGCTCACCTCTTCTGAAGTGGGTCGGCTTTACAAAGTAACAGAGAAAAAGTTTGAATGGTTTCCACAAAAAGTCATAAAATGTCACTAAACAGCACAGGAATTAATGATATTATGGTTTGTGGTAAGACTCCTCAGATCAGTGCTTTATGCTCACAAAACCACAATTGTGTGAATTGCAGAGAGGAAAAAGTCAGAAGGTAGTTTTCCCATACTTGAGGAAAATAATAGATAAATGGTTGAAACGTTGAAAAAAAAAAGATGTTGCATCAAGCATGTTTTTTATATTCAGTTTTTAAATTAAAATGTGGTTAAAGTATAACAATTTAAACATATCCCCGTGTCCATAATGCACAAACTAAACATAATCCTGGATTTAGAAAGATATAAGCACTAGTTGACTGTTCTATTGCCATCTAGTGGTAAACTTGCAGACTGCAATCAACTGTACAAATTAAACAGCGCTTTTTTCCGTTATGCATAAACCAGAAATGGTTTCGGCTTATATCTCAGAGTGGCATTGAGTCTGAAGCTTCTCGCTTTCAAAATAAAATCCTGAGGCCACTTAAGGCAGTTTGCCCCCTAGTGGATAATGTAGCCTTACAAACAACCCTCTGCTCTTTAAAGACACGAAAAATGGAGGACAGGAAACATAAAATCTGATCCAATAAATCTTAAATTGGTTATAAATGTACAATCATAGTTGGTGTGTGCACTGCTTCATATTGATGAAGAACAGCTTGCATTTCATTATACATGACCAGTCGGGGATGTTCGGCTACCTGCTCCACAGCACCTGACATTTGGGTAACAGATGTGTTTCTAACGAGTACTTAAAGATGCTTAACCAGCTGTGAGAGCTACAACAGCTCCAGAAAACCCCTCTGGAGAATCCCAGGTGGGACGGTTAAAACAAATTGGCCCAGATGAGGCTAATTACACTCTTTAATAATCCTAGAAATGCGGCAGAAATTCTACTGTATCAACCCATTCCTTTACCACTCTTTATGTTGATAATGGCAAAAAGTAGATAGTTTTATCCACAAAACATAATAGCCTCTTCTTTTTAGCATTCATAAACTTATCTCCTACTTTTGTCTGAGAACTACCTTCCATGATCTTACAAAAAGGAAAGAATACTTAAGGAAATGGAGGGAGAGATAGTAGACTGCTTGCAGAATAATACAGGTAAACATGCCAATGCCTTCGAGTCTATGTGCCGGAAACATGCAGGCAGCTCATGTCTTGCCAGGATAGAAACTTCTAAGTAGATGCTGAGAAGATTTCTTGATCCAAAATCCATACTTAAGGCAAAGCTCTATAAGTGGAGCTCAACAGAAAATCCATTCATTTCAAAATGAAACAAAAAAAAGGACACTCGGAAACTGTCTGAATCCTTGGAAAAAGTGTAACTTTACCTCGGAAAATATGAAGGGTATTCAACGTGTTTTTCCCTCTCAGCTGGATGCCTTAAAAAAGCTGGAATCCATCCTTTAGTGCAGAGTTAATAACAGCTCAGGTGCTTTCGATAATTCACAAAAAAAACATAAGTAGAAGACTGCTGTATGTATCAGTTTGGTTCAGACATGCAGTCAAAATGTACAAGTTTAGTGTTTAAATTTTTTTAAAAATCACCGGTGCTGGAGGGTGACTCTGTGGGATGGATAACTGGCGCTTGTGTCCAACGAATAGAATGTGAACCGTGTGCAACTAACTGGCGTGAGCTCATCTTTTACTGTCTGCTTCCACTTCAAAGGCCACTTATTTCAGCTCCTGGTGTCATCTGAGAGGTACGACCAGGTCCAACAGTAGTGACACAAAGAAACATACTAGGAATCCAGACTGACTGACGGATGAGGAGCCTTTCAATGCTGAACACAGCTCTTGGTGGTCGAAGAATAACCATGTTTGTTTCTTTTACATCGGAGCTTCTTCCTCCATTGGCTCCTCTTCAGTTCTACAAAACAAAACATTTTCCAAAACACAATACTGATATTTAAAATCTGAAGCTTATGTCAGAATAGATTTAATGTAATGTGTATATATATATATATATATATATATATATATATATACACATATACACACATATACACATTTGATAATCTTAATTAGAGATCTAACGCTAGTCATGAAGAGTTTTCCGATCCAAATATATCATGTCGGTCATGTTTTACAGCTTTAATCATTTATTAGCTCTCAGCCTGCATATAACAAAATCTGCAGCTCATGTCTCAGTAAGAATCTTAACGTTTCATTAAGATATAGTAAGACATAATAAGATACTTAATTAGGCTGAGCCTGTTTTGTTGGACTAACAGTTTCATTAGCTACTTGTCTTAAGCTGAGTTTAAATATGTTTAAAATGCAATTATATCAAGATACAAAATTAAAATTTTACTTTTGTTCATGGGAAACTAGAAGTCCTTAAGTTTGTTTAAAGCACTTAAGATTTCATCATCCACAAATGTCTTTTAGCACCACATAACAAAAATATCAATGGATTGTTTTCCATAGAGCTATATTTGTTTGAATAATAAATAGTTTTACTATAATGTATTGATTTAAATGTACCAATTACATTCTTTATTCTTAAAGAGTCATACAGAGACTATGTTACAGACCTCTTTCCGATGTGCTTGTTGGCGACAGACAATGATGCCATGGCTGAGACAGTTTCAGCTTCCTCCGCATCGTGCTGCAGCACTTCGCTCAAAGAACAGCCGAGTGTGGAAGCAGAGCGCTGCAGGGAACGCCAATATTTACCTGGAGAACAAAAATCAAAAATACATAATGCAGAGGGTGTTTCTCTGGCGTTTTTTCAGTGGTAAAACATGTTCTATTTGTCCATTAAAGCTAAGCAATGTTACTAAAGTTCAACTTCAATGCTCTGAGATGTTTAAGACATTTTTCAGGCTTTTATGAATTTCATTTCTGCCAAATATTAATATGCCTTCATGTTTTAGTGGTTTGACTCACAGGGGGGGGGACCTGTGTTTGAATCCCGGTTGGGTCAGGAAGGGCATCTAGTATAAAAACTCTTCCAGCAAATGGTAACGACTTCCTGTGACAACCCCTGAATACTCACCATTGCAATGGTGAGAAAAGATTCAAGTTAAACACAATTTGGCCAGGTTGTTTATTTTGATTATTTCAAATTTTTCTTATATTTTTGTTCTTTGTGTCTTTAAAATGCCTTTTCCTAAACCATTGACTACTATTTAAACAGTTTTTCCCCCCCCTAAATAATGGGCAGTTAAAATTTTAATATATATTATTTAATGCCCAATGTTCCTTTTTCAGTTTTTTTTTTTTTTTTTTACACATAGTACCAAATCTAATCAAATCTAATAAAACTGGCATGTGAAAAAAGAAATATTTAGGAAATATGTAAATATTTTGTATACATGATGAGGACCGAAGTTAATTATCACAACTTTCATAAACCAAAATTGGAAAAACATATCTTTGTTTAATCTGTAATAAGATTTACAAGACAATGTAAAAAGACAGCGGTGAAGTTTAAAAGCAAAACAAATAATGAATATTTTTTTGCTTTATGACACAGTTGGAATATTACATAGTATATTTATTAGGTAAGACACATTGCTAAAACTAGAAGTCATGACATGGATCAAGCAAGATTCCAATTTAAACTCTTAATTAAATAAATGAGCATTCATAAAGGTAGAGGTATGTTTTTTTTTTTGAATCAGGATTCAGTTTTTCTATACTTTCATTTTCAAATTAAAAGCATTTAAAGATAAAAACTCAGTAAACTTCCAGTTTCTTTGTAAAAAATTCCATGCACAAGGAGCTGCATAGCTAAAGGCTTTCTTCCCTAGTTCTGTCCAGGCAAAAGGAACAGTGAGCAGCAGCTGATTGTTGGATCTCAGGGCAGAAGAAGCCATGCTTTTCTGTGTAAGTAATGTACAAATGTAAGAGGGCAGCAATCCAAAAGTGGCCTTGTAAATAAAAGAGTACCAATGACGCTGCCTTCACGTAGAGAGGGAAGGCCATCCCACCTGAGAGTACAGGTCACAGCACAGTGATGTGGCATTGCTCTACATCTTCTACCATTAATTGTTATACTGCTTTGTTGTCTTATCTGTGATTTTTTAAATTAAAACTATTTACAGAGGATCTTTTTGAACAGTTGTGACTCAATAGTTTTTACCAGAAATTACAAAAGCAGCATATTTTTAAATTTTTTTAGACAAGCTGGTTTAAAAAATTGTCATACATACATATGTGTATAAGCTGCCAGCTGCAAGCGTGATTCTTTTAGTGGAATACTCACTTTGAACTTCGATTACTTTCTCCATGGAGCGCACAGCGTTGGCGTTTGGTTTCTGCTGCAGCACCTCAAAAGGAATGGGGTCCAACTGAAAGAGACAGAAAATCAGATTAGAAACATGTCTGTTTTTGTTATTTCGCTACTGGATCTACAGGACAACTCTGACATTAAAGTGTTTCTATTACAATGTCCCTTTTGCATGTTGGAGAAGATAATAAAATTCTACAGCAAATCTCAGTGTACATGCTCTGCATAAGTTTTATAAATACTCCAGTGATTTCCACAGGTGTTCAGAAAGTTCTCTCCAAAACCCTATTTGACCCGACACGTCCCCTCGAGGTTTAACAGGATCCTTTTTGAAATGCTGACCACAACCCACTGTTGAGTCAGTCCAAGAGTTTGGGAACAATCTCAAGCTGCTGACACAATAAAAACAACAATCCTGCCTGCAGATGGATGCTTCTTCCCACTCCTCAACAGCTTTGCTACTCTTTGACACAAACTACACTGTACGCTTTGTTCTGAGTCCCTCCAAGGAAGCATAAGGGTGTATGCAGATGCATTAACTTGGAAACAACCAGTTCACACATACACCTCAGCAAGTACGGTGAAATCTGTGGAACTCTCCAAGCCACAATTCAGAGCAAACAGAGCTATTCCCTAAAGCTTATTCCTAACCCGGAATGATTTAATTTCCCCTTTGGCCGACTGCTCGTTCAACACTTTTTCATCCCTTTTCGTTACACAGGCTCATTCAGCTCCACATTCCACCACAGACGACACACATCCCTCTTCTGCTTTGTCATAATCCCCGAGGAATAGCACGCCAACATGGCAACATGGAAAGTAAGACATGCCGAGTTAGAAAGAAGGGGAGGAGGGGGAAGTTTGGCTTGACATTTGGAGAGTCGGATGCCAAAGAGAGAAAGGGAAAAAAAGTCATTGATGGTTGGTGTGGACGGGCCAAGAGTGAGAGTTTTATTTTAATTAAAACAAATAGCGTATAGGAGGGGTCCTTGGGGCCGAGGGAATGAGGCACTTCAGGAAGAGATGGATACTTTAATCCTGCTGTGGCACGACAGGCTACATCATGCACTCAGGATAAGATCGAGATGTATGCATTCATCCACTTTTGAGCAACTCCTTTGAGTTATTTCTATCACAACTGACTCTTATCCAGAGAGCTGTATTACAATAATGATGTACTATGCACACACTCTGTAAGTATTAGTCATAGTATGTTCCAGAAACACAGGTTTATAAAATCAAGCATGTGGCCACACAGACTACTTTAACAAAAATTTATTTTTAAATCAGTTTCCCTAAGATGTTTAAATAATATGATTTCTATTAGAAAGCCTAAAGTCTGTCAACAGCATTTCAAGAAAAATCCCAGAGTTTGAAATCAAACGGACGTTGTCTGGCTAAACCCACCTGTAACAGAGACAGCAGATCTTATTCTTCATCAAAACATCCTAATGTTTCCACAAAGTTCACTTCTCCAAGGTTTCAGCCCATGCCGGTCCAGCTTTCCCCGGCTCTGTCAGAGCGAGGTCAGGGGTTCTCCAGGGTTTGCTGGAGTTCAGCACACAGCAGAGCTGGACAGGGGCAGCTTGTCAGTTTGATTGACAGCCAGGTCCCACACTTTTAAACTTTAATGATGCTTGTCTTGGTGCTCCAGGGGCCCAGACTCGGCAGGTATGGTAAAGAAACATGCACGTGTGAAAAAACATGCATGAAGGAATATTATAAACAAGCCTACTTTGGTCTATGACATCACCCATAGCAACATTATATTTGGCTGCTTTTATCTGTGCCTGATATGTATAGCCATCTTTAACAAGTTCAGACAGGGATGTTGGGTTTAAATGATCTCTGAGGACATCCACGTCCCAGCCAACAAAACCGAGACACCGTGCAAAGGCAATGAGCTGAGTTTGAGGAATGTGCTCCGGTAAAAACATTCCTAAGGGAGGCTCAAAGCAAAACAGTGGAAAAGCAGAGGAATTCCACTTGTTCAGCAAAATAAAAAGAGCACAAGCCATCTATTGTTTACTGTTTTGTCCATGTGTGCATGTTAACAGCTGCAAAAATCGTCTGATTATGTTATGCTAACTGAACAAGGTAATCATGTGCATTGTGCAGGGCGGGCGACCTTTCCAGATAAGGGTTGAAGGATTTTCCTTGGACTTCTTTAGAGGAAACAGTCAAGCCCAAAGGGGGACAAGTGAAGGCAAACAATTTCACTGTAACCGAAGAGCAAACACGCTTAATGACATCATGCACGGCTGGCAGCAATTAGCATATTAGCTTGTTGGTTATCAAATAATTGCAAAGGGCCATAGTTTTGACTTGGCAGACATCTGCACTCGAGCAATTTTCAATTAGTCCTGAATTCAGAGCTCACTAGCATCATTACAAATAAATCATTCATGATCTTTTTAACAAAAGAGAAAAGGTGATTAAACATGACAAAGGAAAAGGTGGTTAAAAACAGTTTTTAAGCTGGAATGTGAACTCATTGCTGTGAATATATATATATATATATATATATATATATATATATATATATATATATATATATATATATATATATTTGTGAATATATATATATATATATATATATTTTTTTTTATCAAAGCACAGATATGAAGAATCTGTCACACACATAAACCTATAAAACAGCTTTTAGGTGAAGTCGCTCAACTTGCAAAAAACATGGAAAAAAATCACTAGATTTGTCTGCTGTCCATAAAAAAAAAGTTACTAGAGTGTCTGAAAAGTCCCCAGATATAATGTTAAGGTAGATTGGTTGGCAGCACTATACTGGTGTCTCCAGTTTTCTTTTACTACCCAGAGCAACGCAGTGTTGCCAACAGCAGGCCTCATCTCCAGCCAGCTTAGCTGCAAAACATGACAGAAGCCGGTGGTCCTGCCTTCTCAGAACAAAGTAAACTTTAACACCTTTTGATATTTAAAAAGAAGTGGCAGCCTTTACTTTGCTGTAGTCAATGACATGTCAGATTTTAAATATCTTTACGATCAGGGAGATGTTTGAAATTAATTCAAAGAGGAAAAAAGCTGCCATTTACCAGGAGATTTTTCTTCTAGAAATTTCAAGACATGTCAATGTTTCATTTAGCTGTGAGAGGGCAAGAGTGAGTGACAGGATAACAGGAAGGATAAATCATTTATCACTCATCTGCTCTGTTTATCCCTTTGAACTTTCAACCTCCATCTGTCACCTCTGAGGTCGTAAATGCAAAAATACGCTATAAATGTGCAAAAAGCCACCAAAACTGACTGCTCAAAAACTTGCAATGAAAGAAAAGGAAGTTCAGCAGATATATTTGGATCAGAGTTTTTTTTTTTATTATGGTATTGTTCCACGTCGAGCAACGCAGAACCAAAGACGGTTTTATGCAACAAATAAAATCACAGCTGACCAGTCCGACCAACTGTGGATCGTTCCTGGACCCACTCATCATTACCACAAACACAAAAACAAATAGACAACAAATGAATCCTATTCTGGAGGAAAAGCTCACGTAGGGGACATGCTTAAAAACCGTTGTTCGTAAACCCAGAAAGGCATAGTCATCTTAATTACTTTAAGTTGACCTTAAAGTTGCTATTTGAAGCTAATTTACAACTTTAGACAATAAATCAAACTTAAAAATACAGGAGTGGGCGTTTATTCTTGTTTTTTCTGTTGGTACTCCACTGACACTTCCCAGCAACATTCCAAAGTCATTACAAGGAGTTTAGTGGAGTGCATAAAAATGCTTTCTTCCTGCGGTTTTGATCTGATTTAGACATTTAAGTAGTTTTCTTTCTGTCGCCCTTAGCAATCAAGGATCCCAACAACAAAAAGATCTGCTTTTGTTCAATCAGGTGACGTCATTGCTCCCAGCTGGACGAGTCAGAAAAACTTTGACTCATAAACCAGTATATTGCGCTATTTACTAATCAAAGCAAACTTAAACATCCTCCTATTCCACTGAAATTTCCTAGAAATCTTTGTCTGAGTTTATTCACAGGTTTTAATGACGGTTGGCAAAAATATTTACTCTTTTTCCCCATGATGATACTTTTATGGTAAAAGATCTATTTGCTGAGAATTCATTATCAGTTACCCTTTTTTGTTTCCCTGGAAAAAGAAAAGTTCAAATCAGTCAAAACAACAGATTCCTTACAAATAAACCTCAGTAAAATGTAATGTAAGTAATAAAAACCTGCTTTGGGTTACATCTGATTTCAAAGCTTTTCAGACTTGCACAGGTACAATGACCTATAGAGCTGCTGAATTACAATAGTTTCCTCCTCCTCTACTTCAAATAATTACTGTTTCCTTGAACTATCTGATCCCTGGAACCGGGCTGACCCTGCAGAAAGAGGTGTGAGGGTAAGCGTTTTCAGATGTGTTTGAGAGCACTGCCCTGCAGGGAAGGGGGGACGGATGCCCCCTGTTGCCTCTTGCCCATTCTCAAATTCTCAGCTCAATATGGCAACACCCAGGGAACTCCTTCAAACCCCTGTTGGCAGAAGTGCCCAGCAGGATGCTGGAACATTAGAAGCGAAACCTCTGGCACACTTCATTATGTGGTGGGTGGATGTCCATAGATACTCGCCAGGGTGGTGCAGGGAGCAAAGAATCCAGTGTCTCAACCTGGACGTCCAGGGAGCAGAGCTATGTGACAGCAAAAGGAAACCACCCCTCTGAAGTGTCCTTGAGCTTCTGAAACCTTTCCAGATGTCATCATGCAGTTATGAACTAAAGAAGTATGCAGAAGCAGTCTAAAGTACAATGAAACATATTTTATAGGCAACCCTGGTGAGTATGAGCAAAAATATCACTGAATAATCCGTCAATTAGGACACAAAGAACTTATTAACTTTGGCAACATTACCCATGGATTAAAACTTCCCTTCGCCTGTTGAATGACATATTATCTGTAACATGTTAAAAGGGTGGAGGACAGAGAAATGGAAAGCTTTGAATAACAACATTTGCAAAACGTCTCCCTATTGGTTATCTCCTGACTTCAGTTAACAAAGGCTGGTTTCTAAGACATTTTATGCACGACTTTGCACCAACACAGGTTATTCATAAATAACCATAATATCTGTTAGATGTCTTGAACCAGGAGAAATCTAAAAGATGCAAGATAGGGGTCCCTGAGGACCAATAATGGGAACCACTGCTTTAGATCAATCATAGCCTTAGGTCTGTCCTAATCCTCTCTTCTCTTCAACTCTCAAAATAGATTTTCTTTTGGTTTTAGACTGAGATGGTTGCGTCATGTTTAGTCTTTTTTGGGGGCATGTTGTAGATCATGTTTTAGTCTCCCCTGGGCCTCCTTCCAGTGGAACATGCCTGGAACACCTAACAAAGCAGACGTCCAGGAGGCATCCTAACCAGATGCCCGAGCCTCCTCAACTGGCTCCTCTCGATGTGGAGGAGCAGCGGTTCTACTCTGAGTCCTCCCTGGATGACTGATCGCCTCACCCTATCTCTAAAGGGAGAGCCCAGACAATTCCTCCTGGACGTCTCCCTGGTGAGGTGTTCCAGGCAAGTACCACAGGGAGGAGAACCAGGGGGAGACCCAGGACACACTGGAGGGACTATGTTTCTCAGTTGGCCTGGGAGCGCCTTGGGGTTCCCCTGAAGGAGCTGGCCCAGGTGGCTGGGTAGAGGGACATCAGGGCCTCCCTGCTGAAGCTGCTACCCCGGCGACCCGACCCCGGATAAGCAGAAGAAAATGGATGCATGGATGTTTTAGATCATTATCCTACTTAAAAACTTATTTTAATTAAATATCCAAGCATTTTAAAACCTTTTTGATGCCATGCACTTTAAGAAGGTTTACCATAGCCTTCATAGGAAAAAACAAACCTACAGCATCAAAAATGCTCGACCATTCTAAACAGTGGGCATAACGGATTGTTCACGGATTATCTTCAGGACTTAGTTGGTTTAGGCTTAGAAAACTGTTGAAGGAAGACAAGGCGACACATGCAGAAAAACTGCATTAGACAATGTGGAGGGAGGCACCATGATGGGCTGCAGTCGTTCTTAGATCCTATATATTGTATGCCTTATTATAAATCCTTATGTCACCATTTGGTTCCCTTTCTCTCGTTTGCTGAATAGTCTGCTTACATTTTTAGTTAAAGCAAACCAGACCAGGGTTCACTTGCAAGCAAAGGAGCATTCACACCTGCCCAAACTAAGTGACCCACCAAGAAAACTTAAACCTCTATTTCAAGTGGACAAAGCAAAGCATTCCCTTGTAAAAGCACCATTACTATACTTCTATCTAATCCAGGTAAAGTCTTCTGGGTTCTGCATACTCTACATACTCTTCATGTTCTGGATTTGTTCAAATATTCAGCACTAAAAGCATTTTTATATAATAAAACAAAAGACAACAAAGTCAAGCGTAACTTTATGATCTAAATGTTTTTTGTTTCAATGCTTTATAAAGTTTTTTCTTTTTCTTTGTTCTTGTTGCCTCAACTGCCAGATCCGCATGGGACCTTACTGATCTGATAATGCCAAAAAGTTCAAAAGATCTGCAGGAAGGGAACATGTTGTCCTAAAATGCAAATTTGATTGAAACCTATAAAAAAGATATCAATAGGTCTTGTGCAATTGACTTCTTTCATTCATATAAACACAGTCTGGTTCAGAATAATAACTGGAGAACATATCTGGGCTGTGTTTTTGTTAGACAGCCATTATAAAGGCTGAGGTTAGGCTATTTAAAAGTGTCAGAAGAGTTGTAAATGTTTATGCCTTTTTTATGAACCATAATTGACTCTGAACAAAGGAAAATGACTTTAGAAATTACAGAGGGTTCCTTTGAAATTGACAATATTTACATATTTCAGCCTTCAGCAATGTATCAGAGCAGTCATTTTCTGAACATCAATTTGATGTTGGTCTGATTATCGTCTCTTTATCTACTGCTTATGCTGCTTAACATGAGTTCATTAGGGTTGACCTGCTGGTGTACACATAATTAAATTGTCTATTTAATGTACAGTTATAGAAACTGCAGTCTTATTTGCATTTTATGCTTGTAAAATCTTCGATAGTCACAGAAAGATACATTTCTGTAGATTAAATTCCTTCAGCAAAATATAATTTGAATAAGCGAGTTTAAAGTGAGCTTAAACTGTCCTGTTCTGCGTCACAAAACACCAGTGTTTGTTGAGCACCACAGATCAGCCCACACGCTCCCTCAATTACTGTTCTCTTGTGCCTGGAAACCGTCGCCCTCTGACGTGTTTGTGAGCAGAGCGTGTGCGTTGTTGTCCTGTTTAAATGCTGGTGAAGAAAGACAAAGATGACACGAGGCGGAGAGGCAGAGACTGTTCATTCTGTAAAAAGGAGAATTCTTCTGGGTCTTCTGTTTCTTTGTATCTATGCAACATCATCACCTAAAATCCATTGTTCATCTTTCTGTTGTGTTTTAGCAAAAAAAAATCTTTATTATACAACAGGAATTACGTTTCATGTATTATGTTCTTTTGACTATGTAGTCTTTCCCAGCTGTTTTAGGAACTCCTCAACTACCCATTCAACTACCCTCTCCCTCCTCACACCTACCTCCATTTGTTATTCTATTATTTACAAGACTTTAATGTTCACCTGCACTCCTGACTGTTACTATTGTAACAACAGTTAAAGTGCATCTTGCACTACTAACCTTGACTCAAAATTGATTTGCACTGCAGACTGCTTATTCACAGTATCAGTTGTTTACATATACATTTGCAATACCGTACTTTAACTGTAATATGCAATTACCTTCCACTGCACTTTCTGTCCAAACTTTATTTATTCATTTTATAGTAAAATCCATCTGTATATATGCTATTGTACATAACTGTAAAACCCCTTTTTATAGTAATATCCACCTGTATATTATATTTGTTACATATCCAGTTGTAAATTTAGTTCATAACACTAATTATCTATATATTATATTCATCGGACAAATCTATTAGTAAAATTCTGTTTATAATGGTAATCATCTCTATATTTATTCAGTAGGAACCCATGTCCTGTATTTATGGAACCATTATTTATCCTGCACTTGCTGCTGTTGCACTTCTGGTTAGACCTAAAGTGCATTTCGTTGCCTTGTACCTCTACCTGTGTAATGTCAATAAAGTTGAATCTAATCTAATCTAATCTAATCTAATCTAATCTAATTCCCTTTGGACCACTTTAAAATGTATACATTTTATATGTTTCTATTTACAAAAAATAACATTTAACACTGATATATTATGTAACAGACTGACACAATATGTTGTAAAACTGTCCAGTAGAAGGAAACTAATTTGAGCTTATAATACTTCATTATTGGTACAAATATATCTTTCAAATCCCCTTAGTAGTAAACCTGGATCTACTTATGTTTGATTTATTTTAAGCATAAATCCAGCTGTCTGCAAAATCCTGAGAGGTTTGTTAGAGATCATTAGAGGAGAAGTATGATCATGAAGACCAAGGAACACTGCAGGCATGTCAGGAGAGGTTTCAAGCTGAGGAAGATTATAAAACAATATCTCAAGGGGTGTTAAACACATTAAATGAAAACGGCAAAATTACTTTAAGTCTTGAAATGAGAAAAGCTTGGCCATCTACTAAAACTGAGAGACTGCCCGGTGGAGAAATCAATGATTGGAGAAGAAGCCACAGACTTGGAGTAAATCTGTTCAGTTGAAAGGACAGCAGGATGAGAGAGGTAACCCGTCTTAGTTTGCAGAGGGAACTGAGATCAAATAAAACCAAAGCTTATGCTATGTGTAGCAGAAAATAACCCCAGAAAATAGGCCTGGACAAAACATTGTTTCAATGAATTAATTCGAAAAAAAGAAAGAAAAAAAAAAGAATTTTCTATAATGGCGTATTTTTGGCTCCCTGGACTTTCTGTACGTGCAGTTTTACTCTCAGGTTGCAGATTTGCAAGTGAAAGCGTCACATGGAATAGAAAATGACATCAAAACTTCAGGTGAGAAAGTTTGTTCTCGAAAAAGAAATAATATCATCTGTTGGTTGAACTACAGGGCCTTAAGTTTTCCAGCATAGTAGAATTGAGGCGGTGGGAACTATCAGCTCCTTGCATGCTTGGATACACTCTATACTTGGTACAAATTCTGGCGGGGATAACTACCTTGGCACGACACCGGTGGGGGAGGGGGGGCGGCGAGTTTTTATTTAGATGCGGTTGAATAAGAAGAAATGGAGTTGTGTATTGAAATGCATATTTCAAAATGTTCCAGATAGCTAACAAGTTAGATGTTAACAGAAGCACGGCTGCCAAATAGTGCGGCGCATTAGTGATGTGCCCCTCGTATAGCCAAAGACATGGTGATTAGTTTGTACTTATTGCTTTCCTTAATAATTAGGGGGGGAAAAAAAAACTTAACTCGCCATATCATCCAGCCCTATCAGAAACTAGAGATGTCCCGAACTGACATTAGCCAAAAAACAGAATTAAATTATATTGGCCTGCATTTAAAATCTGGTTGATAATTAAAAAGGGTGAGATGTTCTCTGTTGATCATTGTTCTCCGTTTCTAGTTACATCACATGATCAATCACTTTCAAACATTCTGCACTACAAAATTTAATAACAGTATGTATGATTCCAGCTGATACTGAATAAGGAACACCTGTGCCACTTTTACGTCTTAAAACCATGTTAAAATTGAAAATCTGTACATTTCATTCCACTTTAAAAAGATTCCCCAATCTGTGTTGGTCTGCTAACTATTGCATGACACATGAGGAATGATATATATATAAAAGAGATGATCACATGACAACATCTTCAGAGTAAATATTTCCTCAGCAAAAGCCAATCAACAATTCTTACCTCATTGCCAAGCAGAGCAGAAATGCAGGCTTCAGAGGCATCACATATAGCTGTGAGGTCATGACCCCCTTCCAGGGCGAGCACCAAGCGACCGCCGGCCAGGCCCATCAGCTGCCTGGTCAGGTAGCTGAAGCCTGGAGACAAAGGAAATCACAGCAGAGAAAAGGAGGGGAAAATGAAAATGAGTGAGACTCGCAGCTGAGCTTCCAGCTTCCTTTTGGGATTTTGATAAAAGCAAAACGCTAAAACAAAATGGATAAAGGAGGGAGTGACTGCACGAGAGAGAGGAAGAAGCAAGGAAAGAGAGAGCTCTGTGGATTACTGGAGGCCAAGAACCAACCCTAATATGAGCCAGGTTTAATTTTAATAAACACGACTTAGAGTTTAGTCGTGGTCACAGCCTTTGATGTTGTTCCTCTCAGAAGGAACGGGGATGAATGAATCCATACAACGGCACTTTATTGAGCTCAAATTCGACCCAATCTCCTCTTTCTGCAATCCCCTCAAAATCAGGCATTGCAGCCTGTCTGACAACCAGAACCCCAGCTCTTCTTTAGGATATCTGGTGCTAAAACAGAAAAGCTTTTTCTCAGTACAGTCAACATCTGCAGGAAATGTTAAGACTATACATCAGGATTGTCTCTTTGCAGAATGGAAGAATGTTATGATGATCAAAACAACTTTATTTTAGTTGATTAAGAGCTTTAGTGAAATAATTAATGAACGATAGTTACATTTGGCAGTAAGTTTGTATCCTCCCAGAGGAGGGGCATGTCCATCCACTGCATCAAAGCCAGAGGACACCAGAACCACGTCTGGGGCAAACTCATTGGCGATGGGCATTACCACCGCTCTGCAGAAAGAAAAACAAACAAAGACAAGAAAAACTGTTTGATAGAGATAGGCATTCTGTAAAGTTACTGTACATCATTTGGCTTTGCAAGACAAGAGAACTCAGACAAATGAGCAACAACTTTATCAGGTTTTTCAGAAAATCAAAAAGAAATCTTCCTGGTAAATAAAACAAAAAGTTATGCCTCCTCCAATGATTCAGTTTAAGCATTTCTTTTATTTACACGCTTCCCAGACCAAACATCCATTGAGTCTGTTTGCATGTACAGTAATGTGACACGAATAATTACCACACGTCCTATTTGAAGTGGAAAGTCTGGAAATTTGGTGGCAGGGATAAACCCCACGGTCAAGTCAAAATCAGGAACAGAGAGACAGATGTAATTATATGTTGACTAATTATGTATGATGCCTCTAACACTGCATGGGTGTGGTGATTGACGGCTGTTTTTACATAAACTTAATTTGGTAAACAACTGGTTAGCAGAGTGCCCATGTAGAGCATGCATAATACACATGAATAAGATCAACAGCGGGGCAAACGAGCAATGATTCACTGCAAACTGTGGCTGGAAAATCCAATCACGTTTCAATGGTGGTCCTGTATGGAAGAAAAGGGGATGCAGTTTGGGTGAAGTCATTTTATGCAAAAGAAGAGAAGACTCATTTCAGTTCAGTTTTTGAACACACACTTAGCAGCAGCAATGAGCTCCTGGGTTTGATCCACTGCATACAGTCTTTCTACATGTCCTCCCATGCTTGGCTTCTCTGCAGTTAATTTCTCGCGCTGTCCCAAACTATGTTTATTAGGTTAACCGATGTCTTTAAATTGCCGGTCAGTGTGTGTGCATGGTTAGATGTGGGACGACCTGTCCAGGGTGTACGCCACCCATCTCCCCTAGACCAGCTTCCTGTGATTCAGAAAAAAATCATTTTTTGGCCCTTAAACTGCTATTTAAATGGATGTTTTTCTTTAAATAAGCTGTTGCCCAGAAAAAAATGTGTAAATGACATATTCATTAATTGAAAACATTTTAAAGTGGCTCGTTTAAGAAGCCAGGAATCTAGTGTTGTGCTGGATGAACCTCCAGATTACTGTTAGAGCGCTAGATTGCAATGTAGTATTGCTGCACCAACATAAACCCAACTAATGAAACGAAGTCATGAATTGCAACAACAGCATCGCTCATTAATTTGCAGCAATGTTTACATCTATTGCCAAAAAATTTTTAAATATTAACTGTCAACCATTCTCTAGCACAGATAAGGACAATGCCACATATACTGACCAAAAACAGGTGGAATTCAAAGAAAAAAAGAGTTAAAGAGAGAGAGAGAGAGGTGGAAATGAAGCGGGTCCCAATCAGGAGTCAGTTTCCGTCGTTCCTCCAACTGCTCTCAGATCTGTTTCAGTCACAAACAACCAACCACTAATTTGAAGGTGGTTATTCAATAGAAATCTATTAAAGTTTTTCACAGTGCTTACAGTTAATGGTGTGCAGAAAGGCAGTGGAAGATGCTTAATTTAAACTGAATGGCTGGTGTATGGAACCAGCATTTGCTCAGTCGTCTCTTGAATATCCAAGGTCGGGATTATTGAGGTTTTTTCCAATATAAACCAAAAACAAATAGATCCGGAAAAAAAATCTCTATGTGTCAAAATATGCATAATACTCAAGATAAAGAAAAGTTATCAAAAGAGGAGATATACATTTATGTTTTTATTGCATTTGTATAAACTAGAAATTAAGAGATTATTAGAAGAGATTATGTAAATTCTCATTTCATGCATGCCTTCATCATTTACTGTACGAGGAAAACCTATCAAAGAGATGATTTATCTGCACTTCAACAACAGTCTGTTCTCTCTCTTTTCTGGTAAACAAACTTAATTTATGATAGAAACTAATAAAAATGTATTAACAAGAAAAAATTCTGCTCATACATGTCTTTAGCCTTACTTTAGATATTTTCTTACATTTTGATGTTGTTATTGTAAATTATGATGACCATGACTACAAGAAATAGATATTATGCATCAATTGGAAACATGGGTTTAGAGTAATTTAAGAGGTATCATTTGTCTCATAAACAGCTGGGATTTCCAGATGGCAAAACAAGTGTTTCTCCCAAATTCCTTTGGGATTGGTGCCCATTTTTCATTTTTTTAGGTTTCTGTGATATTTGGGCAAGTAGTATTTTGATGAGGTCTGTGACTGATGGAGTACCACAGGGTTCTGTTGTAGGTCCCCTGCACTTTGCTGACCTCAGGAACATGGTGCCGGTTAGCAAGCTGTGGGCAGGCAGCTCGCCTGAGCTCCATAGGCCACAGGTTTTTCCATCTCTTGCTCACCACCAAATTACAGCCCTGAGACTTTGCTTACCCCCCCACCACCTCCACAACACAACACTGTAGAGCACACACAGCTGTCTGAAGGAGAGGCGGGAGGTAGCATTACAAGATTTCTGGGGCTGCCAGACAGGAGAGATACATGCAGCATGTGCGTCACTACGCTTCAACGAGTATGTGGCAACTTTTTTAGGGTTAGACGTCATGTTTAGGGGATGAACAAGCTTCATTGAGAAAGACTATCTGGAAAGAGAACACAGAAACCGATGAGAGTTCAGAAAGTATGAGAAAAAAATCAGTCCACAAAAACCTACAGCCTTGGTCTATCAGGATTAGAGCCATAAACGACCCCACTCTTAATGAAGGCAGTGAGCCATAGACTTTGTTGAGGAAAAATCTTCTACCAAGGACTGCTAAACCATAGGCTTCCTCACCTCCTACTTGTTCAGTGTTGAGCAAAGACACAAACAGGTCTGGTTCTGAAGGAAAATAGGAATACAGCCGAAGTCATCCGTCACTTCCCCCCAAACTCTTCAAGTAATAGCATGACATTTAAAGGAATAAAAAAAGAATCAATTAAAAGACCAGGAAAGAAGGAAGACGGTGGTTTCTGAGGAGTACTAATTGGGCGTGAATCAGAGACCATGTATGCAGAGATGAAAAAAAAAAGATGGTTAATTAAGGGGAGGGGGGGTTTACGACTCAGCCGTAAGCTACAGGACATCCTGAGAAACGTGGTTAAAACATTTAGAGCTGTCGGCTCTTTTCCAATCCGACTTTACTGCAATTAGAGTCACTTGACAGTTATGCAGAGTGATCTGTTGTTTAGCATTGTTTGATTTACCTAGCAACAGGTGGACAGTACTTATTTGTGATGGGTGTGTTTTTGCACATGGATATAAAGATAATGTGTGATGAGAATTTGATATTAGAAAAAAATGTGTTTAGCAGGTTTTCTTTAGGTTATTAAAACAGTCAAACGTGAGATAAAAATACTGATCTTATTAGAAATAATCAGCCTCCTTTACTTTTTTAATTGTCTTCTACAAGAAATGTCCAATAGATGCAGCAGTTTGCATCAAACCAGCAAATACAAGGTTAAACTGCAGACATTGAAGGCTTTCCTGACTCGTTCATAAAAAAAAAATAATAAAAAAAAAAGCAGAAGAGAAAGAATGAAGAGAGTGAAAAACTCATACACGCACGCTTACACTTCAAAGCCTTGTCATCTGCTGCTGCGGAGAGCTGGTCTGAATTAAATTTAATTCTCCCTCTCTCTCTTCTCTCCAAGTTCATGGTAAAGAGGGGGACCAGGGTCGAGGAGGAGTAGGGGGAGAGAAAGAGAAAGAGAGACGGTGCTTCTGGTTTTCATTAGGGCCAATTTTCTTATCTTTTTTTTCCTCTGTGCTTTCTAGAGGCTCACACTTGATCCCCTGTAAATGCAACGTGGCGCAGGCCAGCAGAGGAATGGAAAGGTGGCTGCTGCAGGGCACGCACCCCCATCCGGGAGATATAGGGGGAAGGAAAATCAAGATACACAGATAAACAACGGATTCAAAGTATCCTGTGTTCTGTTTGAGCTTCTACAAGGCATCATTAGAGTTCAAACCTCTTTAGTGTAATTTCACGAGGGCATATAAACCTTGGCATGCTTCTATATTCAGCTCCTCCGTAGCAAAGACCTTGCAGAAACAATATTTTTTTTTAATTTTAAGGTTAAAAATAGTTTTTATCATCAATAAAAAGACTTTTTAAACCCTAAAACACCAAGGTTAGGGTCCATTGAAATAGTTTTTCCTACCCATAGTACATTGGAATACATTTTATTTAATCTCCTACAGGAGTGAAATAACTTAACAAAGACATTCCTTTTGTCGGGATAAAATAATCATGTTTTATTGGAAGTCACGCGGATAGAATGGGATAATACTGTAGTTACTCTTTCAAAGGGATACGTTTCTAAAAGGGACGTATATTCATGTTCTTAACGCCAGCGACAACTTGTGCTGTAATTCTGTACTCTTTCTCTGCTAAGCTTATATTACATGTGGTGGAGTGGGGCGGGGGGATGGACCATGGTTCAAAGTCGTTTGCCGGTTTTGCAAAAGTTACGCCTTTTTGTCATGTGGTAAAACTGAAAACATTCAGGGCTTTACAGGTGATGAATGTAAACAGAACATCTCGTGACCTTTTTTTTTCTTCCAACAATGGCTACGTTCACACCGCAGCCTGAAGTGACCAAAATCCGATTTTTTTTTGCCCACATGCTACCTCAATCTGATCTCTTCATGACAGTCTGAACAACACAGAATTGATTTTTTTCCAATGCGACCCAGGCCACTTGGCTATGTGGTCCTGAATCCGATACGAATCGGATCTTTTCAAATGCGACCTGTGTCTAAACGGCCAGGTCGTTTTCATCCGACCAGAACGTCATTAATACTCAACTAAAGTCACTATTCTGCATCTTGGTGTGCAGAAGCAGGACGAAAAACAACAACATGGCAGACGATAATGCGGAGAGCAGTCTTTATTTTCAACCCTCCTATAAAGATTGAGATTTTATGGTTGGGAACGATCACTAGATGCGCTCCAGCACTACATCCACCTTCTGTAAACACAGAGCACACTTGCATGTGACATCATGGCGTCCTCTACTGCGCATGAGGTACACTTTCGTTGTATAAATGCAGTTCACACAGGAGATCACATACAAGTCGCATATATTTGTTAAATAAAAAAATAAAAAAATCAGAATTGAGCATTAAGGCCTGCACTGTGAATGTCTTTTTTGCCACTTAATTATAAAGGCCAGATTTCTGCAGTTATAGTTATGATGTCTATATATACCTGAGGTCTAAATCTATGCAGGTCTTCTAAAGCATCTCTAGACTCTCTTACAGTAAGTGATTCCCTGATTAATGATCATTGCCATGTCTGGTGTTCATTGGTATTTCATTGAAGCTGTTTGTTTACTGATGGTCTTTAACAAACTACTGAGGCTTTCACAAAACTGCTGCATCTATACCTACATTAAATCAAACCCTGGAGGACATTAGTTATCAATTAAGTGATTTCTAAAGACAATTGCTGTCCTAGATTAAATCTATCAAAGGGCTATGAATACTCTTTGTATGTGATCATACTGCTACCAAAGATTTAAACCCAAATCTTTAGTGAAGATTTATATTTATCTAAATGTATTGAATTGCCCAGCTTTTCTATAAACATAATGTTTAGTACCTGAATAGCTTTCTGCTTTAGCTTTCCAAATATGCAAGCAGTATAAATAATATATCACTTGTCATGAGTTGATATGCAGACAACAGGGTTGAAAGGGCAGGATCAGACAGAAAGGAAAGAATAAAAAGACAAGTCGGTGACTGAGGGCAAACAGAGCTCTGATGTGCATTAGTAGGCTGAGGTGTGCTTCCTGGAGATTGCGTGCCGAGGGCTGTGATAAGACGGTCAAACCGGTCAGTTTGATGCTTCGGCTTCAGACCAGATGGACGCACAGCTGAGAGCATGGACCCATCTTCAAAGAGAGCTGGAAGGAATCCAGTCCTGCCGCTTTCAAGATGCATGAATCAAAAATGGCTAAGCGATATGCACAGTTTGCATGTGTGGATGTGTTAGGGGGAAGTAGGAGAAGTTTTATATTTAGCAGGCAGTAAGGGGTCCAAATAGAAGAAATCAGGCTTGGCATGATGACAAGCCCCCCTGCCTACTTAATGGCTCCCAGTAGATCATTTACAGGTGCTGGTCATAAAATTAGAATATCATGAAAAAGTAGATTGATTTCAGTAATTCTATTTAAAAAGTGAAACTTGTATATTATATTCATACATTACATACAAACTCATATATTTCAGATGTTTATTTTGTTTAATTTTGATGATTACAAATGACAACAAATGAAAATCTCAAATTCATCATATCAGAAAATTAGAATATTACGGAAGACCAATAAAAACAAAGGATTTATAGAAATGTTGGCCAACTGAAAAGTATGAACATGAAAAGTATGAGCATGTACAGCACTCAGTATTTAGTTGGGCCTCCTTTGGCCTGTATTACTGCAGCAATGCGGCGTGGCATGGAGTCGATCAGTCTGTGGCACTGCTCAGGTGTTATGATAGCCCAGGTTGCTCTAATAGTGGCTTTTAGCTCTTCTGAATTGTTGGGTCTGGTGTATTGCATCTTCTTCTTCACAATACCCCATAGATTTTCTATGGGGTTAAGGTCAGGAGAGTTTGCTGGCCAATTAAGAACAGGGATACCATGGTCCTTCAACCAGGTACTGGTAGCTTTGGCACTGTGTGCAGGTGCCAAGTCCTGTTGGAAAATGAAATCTGCATCTCCAAAAAGTTGGTCAGCTGCAGGAAGCATGAAGTGCTCTAAAACTTCCTGGTATGTGGCTGCGTTGACCCTGGACCTCAGAAAACACAATGGACCAACACCAGCAGATGACATGGCACCCCAAACCATCACTGACTGTGGAAACTTTACACTGGACTTCAAGCAACGTGGATGAAGTGCCTCTCTTCTTTTCCTCCAGACTCTGGGACCTTGATTTCCAAAGGAAATGCAAAATTTACTTTCATCAGAGAACATGACTTTGGACCACTCACCAGCAGTCCAGTCCTGTTTCTCTTTAGCCCAGGCAAGACGCTTCTGACGCTGTCTGTGGTTCAAGAGTGGCTTGACACAAGGAATGCGACAGCAGAAACCCATGTCTTTCATACGTCTGTGTGTGGTGGTTCTTGAAGCACTCACTCCAGCTGCAGTCCACTCTTTGTGAATCTCCCCCACATTTTTGAATGGGTTTTGTTTCACAATCCTCTCCAGGGTGCGGTTATCTCTCTTGCTTGTACACTTTTTTCGACCACATCTTTTCCTTCCCTTCGCCTCTCTATTAATGTGCTTGGACACTGAGCTCTGTGAACAGCCAGCCTCTTTAGCGATGACCTTTTGTGTCTTGCCCTCCTTGTGCAAGGTGTCGATGGTTGTCTTTTGGACAACTGTCAAGTCAGCAGTCTTCCCCATGATTGTGTAGCCTATAGAACTAGACTGAAAGACCATTTAAAGGCTTTTGCAGGTGGTTTGAGTTAATTAGCTGATTAGAGTGTGGCACCAGGGGCCATCAATTTTGAACCTTTTCACAATATTCTAATTTTCTGATATGATGAATTTGAGATTTTCATTTGTTGTCATTTGTAATCATCAAAATTAAACAAAATAAACATCTGAAATATATGAGTTTGTATGTAATGTATGAATATAATATACAAGTTTCACTTTTTAAATGGAATTACTGAAATCAATCTACTTTTTCATGATATTCTAATTTTATGACCAGCACCTGTATTTATATCTTGTGGTAGATTTTTTTATAGTCATTGCCAAAAATACCAAACTCTATGACTGATAATTCTTTCTTTTTCTCAGAAACAGATCCAGAGAAAAAAAAAAAAAAAAGACAAAAAAAAAATGTTTCGTAAAGTTCAGGGAAATATAAATGATTTACCTGAAGGCAGCTAGATATTCTGCATCTCCCATGGGAGGTTCAAGCCCTCCAGTAAATGCCATGTTCACGTTGAAGCCCAAACCCGCACCGCTGCCCACCTGTGGTGCATCAACATGTTTTAATAGGAAGTTATTGAAAAGAAAACTGGACGGCGAAGCAAAGAGACGAACCTCGTCTGGGGCTCCACTGCCTGGGAAGAAGTTCCCATCATCATAGCGGTGCAGGGATAGATAAAGCACGCTGGGGTCTGCGTAGAAGGCCTGCTGGGTGCCATTACCGTGGTGCACATCCTAGAGTGATTAGAAAGGAGTGGAGGTTAAAGCAATCTCAAGCACATTTTTTGACATTATTAGTTTTGACTCCAATGGGGCCAACAATCGTTTGAAATAACTGCTCCAATGGGATCTGCTTTGCAGACACTGTTGCATAACGTTTTTGATTTTACTAAAAAAGAAAAATTAAATCAATGAAACTTCCATCTAAAACCTTTACTTTATTCTGAAATTAGATAAACTGCAGAAATCTTTACAATCCTACACATTAACTAAAGCTCATATTTAAGCTGTAACAAAAGACCATCTTTGATTACAGTACCATTATCTCATAATGAGAATTATAAAATATCATTGGAAATAAGCCTGGATTCATTTGTCTAAATCGGACATAATGATCATAATAAAACAAAAACAAAAAATCAAAATGTGCAGAAAAGTAAGTACATAACACAATACCCAACCATATAAATATTAATAAGACATGCTCAATGCTAAGCATGGTGGAGGACATGTAATTCTGTGGGCCTGTTTAGCTTCTAACAAGCCTGGGAAACTTCTGTTTATATAAAACCACTTGCTTTACTTTTTTTTTTACATTTCTATTTCTTCATTATGGATTTACTGTAGGTTTACACCTCTGAATTATTGTGACACTTTTGACATCTTTACTGTAGATGAATGTGAGGGTTACTAAAGCAAAACATTCAACAAAATGTAAAATTAACAACATAAGCTTAAAATGATAAAATATTCTTTTATCCATACTTATTAGTAAAACCGCATTAAATCATTTTCTGACAGTTTTTAGTGAAGATTTAAAGCTTAAATGGAATGGGGGTAAACTGAAAGTTTGTCTGCAGCCTAAATTGTTTGTGTTGATTTCAAATAAAGGCCAATGAGAGTCACTCAGAGGGAAGGAAGACAATACATCAGCTTCTTGAATTATTTCTGTCAAACTAAAGGATTTTTTTGTAACGAGTAAATTATTAAATCTAAATCAGTGGTCAAGTTATTGTTACACAGACACTTGAACAAACTGAATAGCAGAGATAAACTGCGCTGTGGTTTGTTGAAATGTTTCCAGAAGCATTTGGAAAAACACAGCCTGTGTCTAAATGTCCGTAAAGTAGTGATCGTCTGTCTGAACGGTCAGTTAACTGAACCCACTATAAAGTCCGCTATATTTTCCCCGCTCTATATAGTGATTGAGGGATTTGGGGGTTAGGGCACAGCCATTTAAATAAAATAGCTTTTTTTATTGTTGTTTCCAAGATAATATTCATTAAATCATATCATTTTAACAGGAGGGAACCACAAAACCAAAAACGTCTTTCTTACTGGACAAATCCTCACATAAATCTTTGCCTTTTTAACAAACATTTAAGCTGAAGCTCTAATCTTTGGTTTCCAATGTTTTGCCAAAGGATGCCTCACTTTTCATGTCCTGTCATCAACTCAGCACCTTAGGCTGCAACTTTTATTTACATATTTCAAAAGATCTGACATAAAACTGAACGTATCCACTGTAGGCTACCAGCATGAATGCAACAGCAAAGTAAAAAGCATAAAATTCTGAAATATCACATGTTAAGTGTAAAAATGCATGACGAAAGGAGAAATATGGGGAGAAAGAAAACTAAATCCTCTCCTCCAAAGACAAGGAAGACAGAGGATGCAGTGAATCCCCAAGCAGGTGAAAGCGTGAAAATAAAAACTGAAGATGCAAAGACTGGTTTGATATTTGTAAAAAATCAAATCACTGTTTTTCACTGCTTTTATATGTTAAACTCACCCAGTCAACGATGAGGATTTTGCTGACATTAAGCCTCTGCTGCAGGAGCTTGGCTGCAATGGCGACAGAATTGAAATAACAGAAGCCCCTACAAAAAAATAAATGTTTTATCATTCTCAATATCTGGAAACAATTATTATTATTTTTTTTTATTTAAGCATAAAAACTACTTACATAGGTGTGCTCTCTTCAGCATGGTGTCCAGGTGGTCGTACTACAGCAAAACCATTCTGGAAGCAAAACAAGGTTTTCAGAAAATAACAGGTATGATCCTCATATTTAGAGAAATGACTTTGACGCTCTCTGATGGAAAAATTTAATGTATGTGCATAGAAATACTGCAACACAGGCTGATTTGGATCAGATTTAGGAGGCAGCTGTAAGATCAGCTGTCCAAGGAGTCTCACGTTGCTTTCTGTGGGCAGTAGATAGACATTTGGGCTGAGGCAGAGTGAGGCAAGTTGCACTAATGATGTTGAGTCAGCTGCTGCGTCTTAGCAGCCAGTTACTGCGGTGACACGGGCCATGGCTGGTTTCAGGACATCAACATATTACTGTTGTATGAAGGTGAGAATAAACGTGAGCATTAGGAGCAAGAGGGGTTCTTCTAAGTGCATTTCAACACCTAAAAGAGAGAATATACATGGGAAGCAAAAGACGTGTGTATTTTTGCTTTTTGAGAAGTTCTCGGTGCAGGTGGAATTCGGAGGTAGGGGATCCTCTCAGGACCATCTGCACCACTGGAAACTTAACTGGGAACATAAGTTTTCCTGTATTCCTACTCCATACCCAGATACTTGGAATGTAGTTTTTTTTCTCCCTTTTTAAAAAAAAAAACACAACTTTTGCTTTGATTTCAATGTAATATCACCAAGTGTTGAGCAGAGTAACAGATCAGACCCACAAAGCGATGCCTGAATGATCTCAGTCCCAGGGAAAGAACTATATGGTATCCGTATGGCGTGCTACTGTCTCACACTTAGGAATGTCATTAGTCTGCGGCGAGGTGGTGCTAACCTAACACTCTGTGCATTGGCTGCTCTGCAGGTGGCCTTGGTGTAATACTAATAAAGGCGGCCTGTTAGTGGGGCCCGCTGGCATTTGCAGAGCCTGTGCGGGTCCTCCTGCTGGGTTCAAAAAGGGAGCAGCCCCTCCGACAGACACATGAAGCCTGGCTGGGAGGGGGGTGCAGCCTCACAGGGTGGGGATGTCTGCCTGAAAGGTGCTAATGATGGAGCAGAGGTGTGACTGCATGCAGCAAAGATTCTTAAAAAGATGCTGCAATCATGCAAGCAAAAATATTAAGCATTTAAGCTCTCAACACAACTGAGAAAGTGATATTTTAAGGTCAAATAACAAAGAAAAAAGTTTAACTGCTACTGCTTCTGAAAAGAAAAACAAAATCAAAAACAAAGGTGTTTAACTCCTACTAAAAAACTACTAAGAATTCTTCTTATCGTAAAACCACTCTATAAAAGAATTTCTGTGATGTCCAGCACCAGCAACTAGTCAGACCAAACTTCACTCCAAACACACCTTCAGCTCCCCCGTTGCTACTTTGAAAACCAGCTCCACCACAGATCCGACGGCCAGACGAGCAGCTGTGGATGAATGGATCTCATTCCATATTGTGTCGCTGTCCACCTGCAAAACAAACACGCATACAAATATGATTCATTTAAATTTAAATTCTAAATGAAAAAAATTAAAGCAATAAAACAAGTAATAAAATAATATTTCAGTTAGAAAATTAACTTTGTTCCGAAATCCAGATTTCCCACTCTATTAGTTAGTTCAAAAGCAAAGCATGTGGATTAACTGTTCATATTTCCACAGAGACCAGACTTTACAGACCGTTACATGCAAAAACTACAATGAATCCAGACAGACAGACAGACAGACAGACAGACAGACAGACAGACAGACAGACAGACAGACAGACAGACAGACAGACAGACAGACAGATAGATAGATAGATAGATACTTGCAGCCATAAGTAAAAATAAAATCAATTCTTGGAGATCATCCTTCTAAATTTAACATTTATAAAACCTTCAAGAAGAAACTTAAAAACAAACAACTAAAATTACTCATTTATTTGTTTAGCTTTTCAGGCTTGATTTTTTTCATGTGGGGAGTTTTTATGCTGATGTTGGAAGATGCTAGACATTAGGTTCACGATTAAGAGGCCTAACCTAATTAATGCAGAGGCATGCCTAGCCCCCCCCCATATGAACGCATGTACATGCACACTTTTCAAACCAAGTAGAGCCAAATGCACTCTGTGATTGATTGTACACAGGGCTGCACAGGGGATAATATACACTTCCTCCATCAGTCATGGCAGATACTACAGGCAGATGGAGCATGTGATAAACAGAGCAAAGATGTTGGCAGAGGAAAAGAGGAAACCAGAAAGTCTTTCTCTCACACATGTGCAGAATGACTGAAGGAGGAGATCTGGGAAGACCATTCAATGTAAGATCTTCTAGTTAAAGCATGCTAGTTTTAATCTGTTCAGTCAGTCAACAGTGATGGATCCCATGGAGTGTGGATGATTGCTGCAAAATAACGTCCACAAAGAAGAAAGACAGGTCTTTCTGGCTGCTCCAAGAAAGACTGTCATGAAATGAAACTGTGAGCCTTGGACCCAGCTCTGACAAAACAAATTAGAGGAGGGAGAGAGAGCGTGGAGCTGCTGGGGAAAATCTAATCAGTGTGGAAGCCGCATCATTGCACAGGATACAGATTGTTGTTTGCCAGCATTTTGTTTAAGAAGCATCAATGTTAGTTTTGTCTCTTTGTTATTTTATGGACAAATGAAATATTTTCACTTTAGTGATTAAAGCTGAAACTTTTCCAGCCTACAGGGCAACACAGCAGCAGTATTTGATGCCTGTAGAAAAGTAGACATATATTCCTTTCTTCTAAATGACCCACACCGATAATAATTTACCATTTCCAGGCTCTTCGACTAGGAATATTTATCAAATATTTTCTATTCAGATGTTTTAATTGCTTCTGCTAAATCTGTCCAAAGCTGAAGTGATTTGTCAGCAGCACATTTCCATAATATGGTGCTGCCATTTTCATTTTGGAGAAGTTTTCCTCATCTCGAAATAGAGTGATATACTTATTAATTCTAGTTATTTTTTGAAATGTTGATATTTAACATGCTGGCTGAAGAAAACTTTAAACACAAATAGGTTCGCAACTGACTCAATAATTGTTAAGCTGCAAAACATGACAGAACCATCCTGCCTCCATCACCTGTTTTTATCTGTGATTGTTCCCAAACTCTTCTAGTTCCTTCAGGTGCCACTTTACCAGTCAAAAAGGCAATAGACATGCTCAAAATCTGTTCTGATATTGTTGTATTGAAGGTATAGTGAAGGATTTTCATGAATTTTAAAACAGACCTGTCGTCTCAACTTTATAAAAAAAAAATGCACATGCACAACCCTGTACCCGCTCCTGAGAGGGAACTTCTATTAAACGCATGCAAGAGTGTGCATAAGCCATTTCTCCTCGTGCACGCTCTGTTTAAAAGTTGCTGTTTGCAACGCTCATGCAAGCTTACTTTCCGAAAAAAGATTTGCAATTTTTCCACCATGTCAGACTTCACATCTCTAAGTGAAAATGGTGATACTAAACATATCACCAGAATGATTGACAATTAGGAGGACCACTTATTTGGATGATCAACCCAGTAAAAGAACATCCTCCACTACACCTTTAATGTTTGATCATGGGCCGATGTGCCAGGATTTTCCTTCAACTCTGCTCTGTCCAGATGAATTAACGGTTCTGATAAACGATGCATGACTGGAATTTAACTATACGTTTTGTTTCAGCATTCTCTGAATGCAGGTTTCTCCTGATTCCGTCTACCATATTACCTTAGATAAAGAGACTTTCCCCTTGAAACCCTTGCAAAGAGAGCAGCCATTTTATTTTATTTTATTTGTCCTTTCATTGACATCAACATGTGCAGACGGAGGGTATTGTTTTGCTTTGTTTATTTTTCTCTCAGCACTTTATAGTGGAGGCTAAAATAAAGGACAGTTTGAGTGAACATCCTTCCGTTCATTCATCCATCCATCCATCCATCCATCCATCCATCCATCCATCCATCCATCCATCCATCCATCCATCCATCCATCAGCAATATGTGTCAGACCAAAGGTAAACAGCAGCACCTGGCTACAACTTCCAATCTTCAAGCCTACAGAAGCAACATTTCTCTCTATGTTATTAGTCCAGACAATGACTAAGTGAGAAACCAAGTGAGTGAGAAGGGAAGGGATGTGAAAACACCAATCAGAGTAATGATGCTGTTCCGAAGACGAATGAAGCGGACAATTTATTGTTTCCCGTGTTGATGTTACATTCAGCAGGGAATTAAGACAATAACTGTGCAGGAAAAAAAAAATGAAATGGGAAGTTGTGTCAGAGCTTTAGAGGAGAGGGAATGTGCTGGTATAATGAAACGATGGGTCTCCACAGGCTGACAGGCTAATTTCAAACACCAACTCCCCCCCTTTCCTCTGTGTGTTAGTGTGTATAACTTGTATGTGAGTATATTACAGGAAGACAACAATTTGGTCCCATTGGCCATTATAGAGAGCAGAGAAGTGTGGTACTCCAGCTCCCTTTGCCCTCCTAAACGACAGAGGAAGCGAAATTTAGAAAGAGATAACCAGGAGGTTCAATCATCTTAAAATGATCAACCGTGTGAAAAAATGCCAGCAAACATACAGGTGTGATTATGTTGGGCTCTCAGAGATGTAAAAGTGCACCAAACTCACCAGGAGAGCAGACAAACATCCACAAAAACACAATCATAGGCTCCACCAGAACACACACACAAATGCTCACAGAGTTCCAAGCATCTGGTTATAATTTCAAGCACAGCGGAAAGGCAAGCAACAGCTTTTGTTTGCCTCTAGCCCTTAAGGGGCGGTGGTTTTATGTGTGTGTGCGCGCGAGACGAAGAGCAATGGGAGCATTTTTGAATCCGTGGGCAGATACAGAGAATAGCGTGGGCGAAGGCCGCTCAGTTGTTTCACTAATATCTGAAACTGTTCACTGAACTCCTGAGCGAAGAACTTCATGAATGCTAATGAGATGATCATACTTCTGTAAAGACATGACAGCTTTTCCACTAAATCAAGTGGCACGACTTGAAATTGATGCAGTTTACAAAGAAAATCCCCCGCATGGGTTAAAAACATTTTAATTAGACACTGAATGTTTTGTAAAGAGAAGACAAGGAAAGATGAGTCACTCACCCCGATGCCTCCGCATGGTAACCTCACAAACATGGGGTTCACAGAACCTGCAGGGGAGAAGACACAGATTTAAGAAAGCAGACAGGGGTAAGCAAAGAAAAGGGTCAGCAGGTGAAAAGGGAAGTTTTGGGGCCTCAAAGGTCCAAATGAGAACATGACCTACTGAGACGTCACATTTGACTTTCTGACCTTATCTAACGGCAATAATACATGGGGAAGGGGGAGTTCCTTTAATTAGAACAGGACAAGAAAAAAGTTCTCATTGACCTCCTAATCAAGGGTGTCCTCAGGGAGAAGCCCAGAGAGGGTTCTGTTCGCTCACTGAAGGTCAATAAACAAAGATTAGCTGGCTAATTTACTTGGACGTCCAATTTATGGGACAATGACAAATCTTTCAACAAGCTGGATTCAGTATGTAATTATTGCTGGGACACCAAACTCTCCACACCTGCTGGCATTCATGGTAAGGATATGCATTGAAAGAAATGCATTTTGAAATAAGCGGCATAAACTCATATTGAAAACCAAACTTTAATTGAAAAACAGCAGTAAAATGAATCCCCCAGCACGCTCAATCAGCCAGGATCATGGGTCATTATTGGCTTAGTGTTAGTGAAGCTTTTCGGGTAATAAATGTTGGATCATTATCCTACTGAAAGACCCAGTTAAAACCAATCCATGAGTATTTTAAGGTGAACATTTCAAAGCCACTTTTAGGGGCTTAGGAAGAGAAACAAGGCCCAAAGAATCACAGATCCACTACCATACTTAACAACCAGCATTTGATGCTTTTCCACCTTAACATGCTTCATGGTAAACCTGACCTGTTTGTTGTAGAAAAACGCACTCCTATTTAATTGTGAATTAAAGCGCTTCAGTCCACTGCATACTCCATATAGACTAGAGGTGGGTATTGGCATGAGTGTTGCGATTCGATACATGTTGCGATACTTGGGTCACGATACGATATTATCACGATATTGCAGTATCACTATATATTGCCATATTTTCCCCAGCTATCAAAATCAAATGAGATAAAACAGCAAGTGCTGTATATTTTAATCAGAAAATATTGATTAGGTATTATTATCCATCTTGTTTGGGGTTTTCTTCCACTGTGACTGCCTTAAATAAAGATTTGGTGCTGCACGCACAGTTAAAGGGCTCCACAGCGCTTTCTGTCAGAGTGGTGGTGAAGAGGTAGCCCATTTTCCCATCAATGTTTTATGTAACCATTTTTTTTTTTGAAAATCGATACTAAGAAGTGAAAGATCGATATTATATTGGGCAGCCGAATATCACGATATATCGCCAAAACGATTATTTCCCACACCCCTAATATAGACCGTATACGGCAAATAGAAATTAACACATCAAAACATTTTATACTAACAATAAATGATCAACGAATGATTAAAAGAGCAGAACACATCCAAAAAAAAAGGAAAAGAAAGGAAATAGCAAAAACTTGGGTCTTGTTTTGTCACAGCCCCACGTCTGCAACTTAATTGCTGCCCTGACTGTAGATTAAGATAAGTTTACAAGGGTTATTATTTTTTAATGTTTTCTTATCTTTACTCTTTTGAAGACTAGCTAAGAGAAACGGACCTCTGAGTGGTGTTTGCATTACGGATTTGCCCCAGAGAAGCAGAAAATCACGTATGAATAATTAAGCTTTATTGATACCCTTGACTTAAGAAAGTAAAGTACGGTATATATTTCAGCTACTTTTGGTGCCAGTAAGTGTTGCAAAAACATATGGGATAAAATCTTAAAGTTCCCACTGAATGAATGCACTCAAATAATAGTTTATATTTTGCAGGCTGAGATTATGCTTTTGCAACAACAAACATTCCTCAGGTTTTCTGTTTTTAAAATAACAACAGGAAGCCATTTTCACACTTGTCCTTGTTTCACTTCAAATAAAAGCATGCTGTCCCCTCATTTTTTTGTTTTAATCAAAGTTTGCATTTTACATGCACAGCTTTTACTAGTTCATATTAAGCCTTCCTTTAGTCAGTCTCAGAGTACCTGGTAATGTGGCTTTGTGAGACCATCTGAGCTCCTCTTTGGTATGAAAGCTAAGATCACCTCTGGGATCTGCTGCATCAGTGTGTGAGTTGTAAATGCATATAACACTAACTTTTCTGGCTCCATCTACTCTTTGAGCCAAGACCTAAGTGACACAGCAGCTCATGTGACTTTTTAATTTAACAGCTTCAGAGGGTTCGGACTTTATTGTTACACCTCCACTACTTTATTAGATCAGGCCTTTTGTTTCAGAGCGGTTTAAGCATTAAAACAGATTCCTTTAGCAGATGGTGTGGATAAATAAGATTTACAAGATGTGGTGGAGGTATAAGAACAATGATCAAACAAAGTTACAACTTGCATTTAATTCATTGGATTTAACTAGAGTTAAATCTTTTCTGATATATTACCCATTCAGATGGGATTTTTCTATTCCGTGCAAAAAAATGAGCAACACAAACATCTGTTTGGATGGAATAGTGAAGATGCAGTTCTTACAGTCTAGTTTCTGTCGCAGCGGGTTGGTCCCATACAGCTGGCCGTGGGCCTCAGAGTGCACCGTCTGGAGCTCCTCCTGTGAGGCCTTTCTACCACGGATATACTGAAAAAAGGAGAAACTGGATTTGAAACACATTTTTGATTTTTGACAGAAAGAAGACTATTGCTGCATTAATTTCTGTGGTTAATCTCCAAAATATGTGTGCAAATATTCATAGGAAGACAAAAATGTATAAGAATTGCAGAAGAACATGCTTCAAACCTTATTTTTAGATTGAAGCAAATGCCAGATAAAGAGAGTACTACTGCCCTCTTCTGGTTTAAACTTGCAACAGCACATAATTTAAAAAGCACAAGATAAACATAAAAGCCGCAGAAATAATTTTGAAGTTTAGCTTTGAACTCTCTGACTCTTTTGAGCGATAAACACAACTTTGAAAAAAAATATTTTAATATTACTAAATTGGACAATTCTAACCCTTTATACAGTAATATTAGAAAAGCATCCTCACTTTAATACAACCATCCTTGTTAATTTATTTTAAAGTTGAAAAAACTATCTAAATGTATAATCAAAAGATTCAATATACATTTTAAGTTATTGGAAAACTACCAAACCAAAACTTGAAAAACTTAATTGGAGACAAGTTAATAATTAGACACATGCAAGTACATTTTAAAACATCTACTGACTTTTTTCTGGTTCTTCAGAACAAAACTGGAGCATTTTTTTAAAAGTTGGATCAGTTTTAATTCACACTCTTAATTGTAATCTGGATTTAATGAAGAAATAAAAATAACAAACACATTCCCTTCCCTTTAAGTATTACTTTTGCAGTGTGCTAGTACTGAAAGAAACAATTTAATCTCTTCTTTAGACACCAGTTGCAGTTTTTCCCCCCTGATATATCATCCCTCATTCAACTGATTTGAATCAGTTACCCATAACCCACTGAGATAAGATGACACTCATGTTACTAACGCTGTTTTAATATAGGTATAGTCTTATGATGAGGGTCTCAAATCTGGTTTGTCAACAATTTTAGTGAAAAGGATATCTCTCTTTATATCAATGAGGATCTTAAATGAACTCTTAAAGACTTTCAAAGTAAGTAGTTCTATAATCTAATCCAATCCCAAGAACATTCAGACTCAAAAAGATCAATGTAATATAAAAATTTAATTCAAGATATAAGTGGCTTCAAAAAAGCCTAAACTAGGGGTTCAGATACAGAGTTTTACTTGAAAAGCATAAAGAAAATAAATATGTCAATTTACCATTCAATTAATGATTAGTTTTATCTTTTATTATCTCAAACAGATTTTGATCAAACTGGATTATTTTGAACTGAATCTGTTAATTCAATTTAATTTAATTGGTGAATGTGTTTTATATGGTCTCACCTCACACTGAGCCCTGAGGCCCGTTTCTTGCAGCCGGGACCAGATACTCTGAATTCGGCCGGCATGCTCAGGATGAATGGTGGCGTTGCCGCAGATGCACTGATGTTTCTGCATCAAGGAGTCATACACTAGACCTGGAACAGGAAAAAAGCAATCAAAGACCAACGACATTATCAAATTAATAGATGTGAGGAGTTTATGCATCAAAACACCAAGCTAATCTTTACAAAGTTCTAAAAAAATATCTAATAAGTCTTAAGTTTACAAAACAGATTAAACAGAAAAAGTATTTATCAGCCATATGTCTATTATTAATGATCTCTATTACTTTTTCAGTTCCTCCAACACCAGTGAGGAGGAACAGTTTTATTTCTTCTTTACAACACTGCTGCAGTGTTTTTGACACCCTATTCCCATCTCACCCCAGCTATCAACACAGGATTTAAAATAACTTCTACTCTCCAATGGTATACAGAGTTGATGACTGCAAGGATTGCAGGTCATGTGACTGCAAAGACCCAAATCACCACAGATTCACCACCATGCATGTTAGTTTCCCCAAACATGGGGCTGTGCATTATAGCTGCATAACTTCATTCTTTCTCTTCTATAACTTGGTCCTCCATATCAAAAAACGATGGCTCCTTCTGTGTTATGGTTTAATTCAAATGCAACTCGTCAAAACTAATTTAATCTGTCATGTTAGAGTGAAGAGCCTTTCATGTAATGAAGCAGTTTAAGCTTTTTCTAATTGTACTTGCCTGAAATAAATAAAAATATAACTGAGGCGTTTAGAGTCATAGATGGAGCTTTTGGGTTAATTTTTTTTTCCAGATATTACATTTACTGAACCTGTTGGTTATATATATATTTTTTTATCTTCAAAAAGAGGTTGTAATGCTGATAATCAATTTATTTATACATTTAAATGGACATTGTGTAATATTTCTCTGTTTCATTTCCTGAAATCAATGACTGAATTCACTTTCATTATAGAAATTGAACTTTATTGATCTCACAATGGAGAAATGAACTCTCTGCATTTAACCCATCCCCTTTGGGGAGCAGTGGGCTGCCACTGTGCAGTGCCGGGAGCAATCAAAGGTTGAGGTTCTTGCTCAGAGACCCAGAGAGGCAGTCTGTGGGAGTGGGTTTCAAACTCACAACCTCAGGATTCCAATCCCTATGCCCTAACCACTAGGCCACCACTCCCCCAAATAATTTTATATTAGTTTATACAAAAGGCTGGTCACCTGTAGCCATAACAGATAATCTCCAGAGTACAGATGACAGTGAGAAATAAATTAGTACTATAGTACTGCATTGTTATGCATTAATAGATTGTTATTTTGTGTGTTATAACGCACGAAATAACAATGCATTTCCCTTTGCATCTTCCATTAGAGATGCTCATCCAACAACTGAAAGTCTGCACTCCTGCAACACAACGCATAACCATGCATATGCAGCAGCAGCACAAGAAATAGTTTCACCGTCCCATAGAAAAGGTTAAAAAAAATAACTAAAAAGACAAAGAACCCAAAGACATTAGAATGAAAATAAAATGAGAATAAACATCAGGCAAGCCTTCTGCAGGTGGAAGGAGCTAATGAAGAAGACTTTAAAAGGGAAGCTGAGGTTACCGCATTTCTCCTTGACAAGTACAGGTGCTGGTCATAAAATTAGAATATCATGAAAAAGTAGATTGATTTCAGTAATTCCATTTAAAAAGTGAAACTTGTATATTATATTCATACATTACATACAAACTCATATATTTCAGATGTTTATTTTGTTTAATTTTGATGATTACAAATGACTACAAATGAAAATCTCAAATTCATCATATCAGAAAATTAGAATATTGTGAAAAGGTTCAAAATTGATGGCCCCTGGTGCCACACTCTAATCAGCTAATTAACTCAAACCACCTGCAAAAGCCTTTAAATGGTCTTTCAGTCTAGTTCTATAGGCTACACAATCATGGGGAAGACTGCTGACTTGACAGTTGTCCAAAAGACGACCATCGACACCTTGCACAAGGAGGGCAAGACACAAAAGGTCATCGCTAAAGAGGCTGGCTGTTCACAGAGCTCAGTGTCCAAGCACATTAATAGAGAGGCGAAGGGAAGGAAAAGATGTGGTCGAAAAAAGTGTACAAGCAAGAGAGATAACCGCACCCTGGAGAGGATTGTGAAACAAAACCCATTCAAAAATGTGGGGTAGATTCACAAAGAGTGGACTGCAGCTGGAGTGAGTGCTTCAAGAACCACCACACACAGACGTATGAAAGACATGGGTTTCTGCTGTCGCATTCCTTGTGTCAAGCCACTCTTGAACCACAGACAGCGTCAGAAGCGTCTTGCCTGGGCTAAAGAGAAACAGGACTGGACTGCTGGTGAGTGGTCCAAAGTCATGTTCTCTGATTAAAGTAAATTTCGCATTTCCTTTGGAAATCAAGGTCCCAGAGTCTGGAGGAAAAGAAGAGAGGCACTTCATCCACGTTGCTTGAAGTCCAGTGTAAAGTTTCCACAGTCAGTGATGGTTTGGGGTGCCATGTCATCTGCTGGTGTTGGTCCATTGTGTTTTCTGAGGTCCAGGGTCAACGCAGCCACATACCAGGAAGTTTTAGAGCACTTCATGCTTCCTGCAGCTGACCAACTTTTTGGAGATGCAGATTTCATTTTCCAACAGGACTTGGCACCTGCACACAGTGCCAAAGCTACCAGTACCTGGTTGAAGGACCATGGTATCCCTGTTCTTAATTGGCCAGCAAACTCTCCTGACCTTAACCCCATAGAAAATCTATGGGGTATTGTGAAGAAGAAGATGCAATACACCAGACCCAACAATTCAGAAGAGCTAAAAGCCACTATTAGAGCAACCTGGGCTATCATAACACCTGAGCAGTGCCACAGACTGATCGACTCCATGCCACGCCGCATTGCTGCAGTAATACAGGCCAAAGGAGGCCCAACTAAATACTGAGTGCTGTACATGCTCATACTTTTCATGTTCATACTTTTCAGTTGGCCAACATTTCTATAAATCCTTTGTTTTTATTGGTCTTCAGTAATATTCTAATTTTCTGATATGATGAATTTGAGATTTTCATTTGTTGTCATTTGTAATCATCAAAATTAAACAAAATAAACATCTGAAATATATGAGTTTGTATGTAATGTATGAATATAATATACAAGTTTCACTTTTTAAATGGAATTACTGAAATCAATCTACTTTTTCATGATATTCTAATTTTATGACCAGCACCTGTAAGTTAACTGTTCTGCCTAAATTAGTGGAAAGTTAATTTTTTCCATTCAGGTTAATTAGATGGTGATCTTCGTTACCATGGAAAGCACAACAGTAGATCCTGCAAACATAAACCGGTTTTGTTGGTACAGAATTGTAGGTTTACAGCCACAGTGAATACTGGCTTTTGTCTAAGGCAGCGAGATGCTAGGAAACAGTGTTTGTTTGGTGAAATACCTCCATATCACAACGACAATTCTTAGACCATACCGCTTTAATACCCAATAGGTTTGTTTTTTTACTTTCCTTTATATTTTCTGGAGTATTTTCTAAAACTTGATTAAAGGTTTTGTCTTTCTTTCTGGTGAATAAATGACTAAACTTGTATGCGTTTTCAGTTGGAGGTCAATTATTGTTACCATGTTCTTGTATGTATGTATGTGGTATAGTGTATTCATACTGACCTGTAGTAAATCGATGCTTCACTGGTGGCTCCTGGACTGCAATAGGAAAGGAAGCAGACGCCGGAGACGACTGAGTCCTGAACAGAGGACGGTGTGCAGCCATGTTGACTGGTAACCCAGCTACTTCCATGGAGGCTCGGTAGCTCCTCAGCTGCTGGATGCGTTGCTGCTCTAAGAGCATCGCTTGCTGCTCTCACACACAGACACACACTGTTATAGTCACTGCAGGGCAGAGGAATACACATCTTACACCAGAAGAGGGCACCAAACACTTTAACGCTCAAGAGATAAAGTTGCACAAACAAACAAAATGACAGAAATACTGATCTGGGAACCTTGTTTTTCCCTTTTTACTAAGAATGTGAATGTTTACCCAAGAAAAAAAGCATTAATCAAATAACTATTGATCATGCTTTCAGCATTTATCGGAGCCTATAAACAGATTTGGATGTAAGTGTCAGAAAAGTGTATTCATTGTCATCATGTGAACATTTTAGTTCGCTTTTATGCTCATATTGTGCTTAAGTGCTGGATCGCACTGATGGGTGTGTCTGCCTGCTCTACTGTACGGGCGCCATGGCGACAGTGAGAGGAGTGCCTGATTGAATTTGGCTGAGCATAAAACAGGGATGGGCCGGACAGAAGAGGACGCCCTGTTCTGATTGCCTGGGAGCGTGGTCACAAATAGACTGAGCAATACAGAGATTAAGCCTGTAGGCTGAGGGGGATCCAAGAACAAATCACACTAAGCAGGAAGCCTTGATGATTGATTGAAAAAGTGGTTTGTGTGGATGTGCAATATTTATGTTACATACTAGCTCAACTTTGAGGAGAGTTTACAGTAAATGGAGGAGGGTGTTGTAATTTACCATTCCAGTCCTATTGTATTCTGCATCGTCTTATGTACTGTCATGTTAAAAAAAAAGATTATTTAAATGGGAATAATCTGTCTATTTCTATTTTTATTAATTCATTTATTTATAACATAATCTACCTGTCCATCCATCCCATGCATTGTTTATTTTTCTCTCAGCACTTTATAATGGAAGCTAAAATAAAGGACAGTTTGAGTGAACATCCATCCATCCATCCATCCATCCATCCATCCATCCATCCATCCATCCATCCATCCATCCATCCATCCATCCAGTCTTCCTCTGTCCATCCTGCTGTTGAGGAAACAGGCTTGTCTGTTTTGATCTTTGTGTTTTTATGGTTTCTGTTAGACACCTAGAGTTATTAGCCAACTTATTGTATGACTGAGTCTGTTGTTCTTGGGTGTTTTGTAAATAAAACTTTAAGTTGTGATATAATTCTGAAATCAGTTGCTCTTAAGGTCATCATCTTATCCAGGGAATCCTGTCCAACACTGACAGCTTTGATTACAGAATGACTTCTGGCTCGTTGGAAACAGAAATTGAGCAGCAGCATTTGTTGCTTTCTGTAACTATGAACGACTAAATTCAAGTTTGAGGTCAAAAATGTGTTTGAGGACATTAAAGTAAAAATCCAAATGTATTTAAATTACCAAATAATGAATCAAACTCTTAGTGAATCTTGAGGTTAAATTCAAAGCCTGTCATCTTAAGACACTAATTAGTTTGATCTACAGTATGGTGGCTTTGCATAAAATAGGGAATTTAGATTTTATTTTTTATTGCTAGTGTGAATCTTTAAGGATAATTTCTCACATCTGATATTTACCTGTTTAAACATGAAGTCTCCCTCAGCCTGTCTCTCCCTATGGTCCTGTTGCTCCCTCTCCTCTTGCTCTTGGAGGTCTGGAGGTTCCTGCTTAATGACCAAACCCCGTATCAACCCTGTTTCTGGTCCAGATGAAGTAGACGATGAGGACGAGGACAAGGCAAGTCCCTGGTGCTCCCTGAGCTCTTCTTCTGTCTCCTCTGGGTGGCTCTGATGCTGCCTACCGGGCACAGAGGTCCCAGAAACTGCAGCCTGATCACTGGGCTTAGACATAATCTAAGGAATGAGAAAAAAAAGGGAGATTTGGTTCAGATTATTTGTTATAATTGGAGCTTAAAATAAACCTGGATCACTTAAAGAGAAAAACAATCCCACCAACTACTGAGAGAGGCTAAAAAGAAAAAGTTCCTAAATTATTTGTTGGGAAAACTTAAAGGAGTTAATCTAACCAAAAATAAATAAAAATTTATATTTACATGGGAGAGATTTTTTGCAATCAAAACGCATAAACAAAGACAATTCTCAGTCCACCAATCTTTCCACTAATCTTTCCACTCCAAAAATAGCAGAGTGATAAGGCCAGGCACAAAAACAACACACTGACCTCTAGTTTAAGTAAACACAAAACTAACATTAACCAGATAGAGACAAACCTGATCTGTACTCTGAACCCCAGACCCCGAAATATAATTCCTTTATAACCTCAGTTCCATCCACAACCTGTTTGTGTATTTCTTTGTGTACCGCACCAGTTCACTAAAGCCGTCCACTAGATGGCACACCAGAGTCTGAACATAACGAACTTCCAGAAGGTAAAGTTGGGGAAACGAGGACAGGGTGTAACATATGCAGGAGATTCAAGAATCTGAGCAGTTAAACACTCCGTCTTGTTTACATGAAATATTTGGAGACGTGCACAACACGTCTTCCAAAAAAGACACACAATATGCGACGAAAGGCTCATAAGGAGTAATTAAAAGTCAAATGTGTTACTGGAATAAGTCAGTTATTTGCTTTGAATACTAAAGGAGTCCCTCGGCCTGTTTGTGATTTCATTTCTAAGGTCACCTTGCTTGAACCCAGAGAAACTGAGCTAAGGGGCACAAGGGAGAGAAGAAGGGAGAGACTGCAGGAACTGTGGAGGGGTGACTCTAGTAATCTTGTTGTGGCAGCTGTCCCTGTCGTCAGAGAACTCAACCTTGATGTGCAGGTCATGATTGGACTGGGCCAGTTTGTGCGCAGGGATCACACATACAGATCCAGACACACACACACACACACTTGGCTGGCATGCTGCCCAGGGAACGGTCTATTGACGTCAGAGAACAGGCTCTTGCCTCATCCCAGTCCCTTTACTCCAAACAAACTCAAAACACTCAACAAAACCGGCTGCACTGATTCTTAGTCTTCTTTTCTTTCATGTTCTGTTCCCTTTTCCTCTTTCCCCCCCCCCCCCCCCCCCCCCCCCCCCCCCCCCCAGACAAAATAGTTGCTGGGATATGAAGCATAAGGGGGGCAGGCGTTAAATAAGCCTGTTAAATAAGCTGGAAGATGAGGACAGCATGCAGCGGAAAGAGGAGGTGATTTTATACACAACCACTTGACACTTGTTGGCTCGATCTATCCGTCTCTCTAACAGGCCCGTTCTTACACATCAATATCACTTAAATACTTCACAGCATTTCCCTTTCATGTAAGTAATACTTAACGTTGAAGTCGTTCTGGAAATGATTGCTGCAGTCCCCCTCAAACTTGTTTTATTGCTGCCTACATTAAAGCATGTAAGCAAGTAGAAATGCTAAAGATGATGGATCCTTTTAGAAATATTGTAACTGTGAAAGTAGAGATTTTTAAAGTTTGCAGCATAATGACTGACCAAATCCAGTAGTAAACAAAAGGTGTCCAACAAACCTTCCTAAAACTTCTAACTGTTCTGAAATCAGTTGGAATAATTTCACCTCACCTGGGAGACACACATTTCACACCAGGTGGGTAGAGCCAACAGGGACTTTATTTCCTCATTAGCGTTAAAGCGTGCTCATTTCATGAACCTCTACAGGTCAGTGATAGAAAGCCTGGTGCAACGAAGCGTAGTTTGGTTCTGTAGTCGCTACAAGGAGAATAAGAGGAACCCACACTGGGTTTTGAGGGCAGCAGAATTGAGATTTTAGATCATAGCTGCCCTCTCTGACAGACATTTACATTCACAGAAGAAAACCAGTGGCAGTGCAACAGTCTCCACTCACTAGGAAACATTCTTTCCTTTCCACCTCCGTCTGGAAAAACGGTTTAGGACTTTGAAAACCGTACACAGCAGACTGAAAAATAGTTTTATCCCAGAGCTGTCAAACCATCAGCAATACGACATGAAAACACTGCATACACGGGATATAGTAAGAATCCTACCCGGTGCCTACTGTGCTCGCTTGCTTATCAAAAGTAATTGTTTTTAATTAATCTAGGGCAAAAAGACAACTTGAGAAACTTAATAAATATATTTCTGTTTCATGACAATTGGATGCTACTCATGATTCAAATGTTTTATTGTCATAAATGAACAAAAACGTTTCTTATATGCAAACATACTTGCAGAGTGACGCTTCATAATACTGTAAAGCGTGAATTGTATTATTAGCAGGGATCAAGTTAACACGACAAATAATAATAAAAAAACAAACATCAGATATCAATCCTGTAAGTTTTATCTTACAGATAGTGATTAATATGATATAAGGCACGTATTAATATATAAGAAAAAGGTTATTTTCTTATTAAATAAAGCTAATTTATGGTTCTTAACCTGAAACTGTCTTTATCTATCTTATATCCTGATTCCTTGTACAAAAAACACATTAATATTATCTAAAACAAAAAAGAAAACAACATTTAAGCATAAGGGATGAATTCCCCTAAAATACATAAATCAGACATTTATGTTTTCCCTTCTGTGTAATATAGCTATAACTCAAAATTATCAGTATCTTGCCTATAATAATTAAATAAACAGTTTTTATACCAGATATCTAAATAGTAACGTTCTCATAATGTCTACTTATTATTTTTTACCATCACACACTCAGATTCTTGCTAAATATCAAATTAATAATGTGTGTTTACACAATAAAAGGTTTGGCTGCAATACATAAATATACATTTGTATTAACCTATTACTGAATTATTATTTTCACATTGCTGAGCTGAATTAGGATTTTTCACTGCTGTATACAATGAGAAAAAACATAAGGAATGTAAATAAACTATGCAATATTAAAGATATGAGAAAAACAGCAGGAAAGATTTCAACAGAAACTATGTTCAGGCAAATGTTGTTGTTTCTTTTTAGCCCTATTAGTATTTTGTTCATACAGTTAAACCCAAAAACTCTCTCTGTCCACAAACTCAAAGTTTCCTTTTTCTGATCACCATGAACTTTCTATGTGTGTGAATTATATCACAGCAGTAATCATCAATTAAAAGGACCAAAGCAGAAACCCGCGTAACATCTCACACAAAGACGTATGCGTACCCAAAACAGAGCGAAGGCAAACACGGCATTAGCTGCTCCGGACGGCATTATGTGCTGATATTTGAGGTCTGTATCCAAATGAATGCTTGTTGTAAAAATCTAATTAACACTCATCTGCGTCAAACCGTCACGCAGGATAAAGGAAGGGATTGCATTTCACACATGGACAGTGCAGTTTAATTTAAGCTATGATTGATTGCCCTCAGGATTAAAATCCTCAAACTTTAGATGCAAAAAGTAATCAATAGAAAAACAGTTAACTTAGAGCATTAGAAATGCATTTGTAAAATATAAGCAGACAAAAAAAAGTGAATGAGGGGAAAAGGATACATCCAGCTTACTCTGGTGCCCTTAAATAAAACATAACGAACATCAAGCATTAAGAACCTTTGGAACAGAGCAGACCAGTCAGGGAAAAAGTTATGGGGAAGTTTAAGGAAGGATTAGATCAGACAATGGAGTTTCACTTTGTTATTGCACAAGCTGCCTGGGAAACACAATGAATAAATAAATGAATAAAAATAAACTCCCTAAACTGAACTTGAGTCTCCCTTATTTAAACTAGGGAGCTACAGTACATGCAGCAAAAGAGCAAAATGCACTTTATCTCTAAAGGAACTCCAGCACACTGAAATACATAGATATATATGCAACACAAACAAGCATCTCCTACTGTTACACTGCATCTCTCTGATCATGAGTCATCTTTCCTGTTTAAAGCTTATACGGCAGCAGCTTCTTCACTCATGCCTGGTTGCCATGGTGACAAGGAGATACAGGGACACAGGCTCATAGAGAAAAAACAACAACTAAAGACTTGATTGATAGCTGATTCATGCTGCTTTTGAAGAGGAGGACAAGATTCAAGAACATTAACTGAATCATACGCAGGTGATTTTCAAAGCACTCGAACAGAAAGTTCTGTGCAGAAGTCTGCACTCAGTTTTACCTCAATGCTACTTCAAAGAAACTAGGGTTTCTTTAAAGTCAGCCTAGTTCAGGTGTTCCCCAGGCTCCATCATATCAGGAGTACTTTAGGAAAGCAAGAACTAGTGTGAATGGGATTCAAATACATAGAAATGAACTTAAGTTTCAAACATTACTTGATTAAATAACTACAACTTGCTGTTACATTGGTCTGCAGGGGTGTTGAAATGTTGAATGTAGTGCACATGGACAGGGTGAGATACCTTATTGATGATGTGCTGCTGTTGCTGCTGCTGTTGGAACAGTTGTTTGTGCTTTTCCAGGAACTGCTGGTGCTGCTGCTGGACCACCAGCTGCTGCAGAGCTTGGGCCTGTCCGCACGGCTGCTGGGGAAGAGGCGCCGACTGGGTCCTTCCCAGGGGACGGTGGCCACGCACCAGCTTGGAGACGGTGGGAGACTGGAGAGGGAGGCCACCCAGACCGACTGCAGGAACGACAAAAAGAAATTAAGAAAAATCATCCCAAGTATTCCATGCATATGGTTTCTAAACCAAAACTTCCAAATGGGAAGTTCTGTTTATTCACTTAGTTTATAAAACTAGAAATATTTGAAATTAAACAGTAAAGGTGTGAGTCAAGAACTTTAACCATTAAAAGTTAAATAATTTTTATGACTCAACACTAAAAAAAAGAACAATTAAAATATATATTTCAATGAAGAATATGAATGATGAATACGGCTTACAGCTAAGAACTTTACATTTATTTTCTAACAAACTTGAACTGAAAAAAGCTCAATAAACTAAAATAGTAAATAAAAATACTGAATAAAAATGTGTTATCTACAGTTTAGTGCTAAAGAGACAAGTTGTGCATAGAGGGCTGAATCCAAAACATACAAATGGAAAGTTAAGTAGAAGAAAAAAGTGTGGTAGGAAAAGGTACATGAGCAAACATGACAAACGCTGCTTTGAGAGAATTAAGGCAAACTATATTTGACAGTTTGGGTAAAATTCACAAGACATAAATTATGCTGCCACTTGAACTACAACAGCACTGTAAAAACACTCTAGAAATAAGTAGACATTTAAATTAAGTGTATTTACCCTTAATTTTAGAAGGTAAATAAGATAATTGGTCAATGAAATAAGAATTTCAACCCTCAAAATAAGATAATTGAAAAAGTGTAGCACTTAGCAACTCAATTCAAACAAATATTTATTTTAAGAAAAAAAGTGTCCTTTGTTAGACCACATAAAAGCTGACTTTGGCTAGGATAAAAAAAGGAACAATTTATCACTCAGTGGTCTCATAGTTTCCTTTTTAGATGATCCCAATTTTTCCTTACAAATCAAGTTCAATCAGACAAATCAGACAGTCAGCCATGGTGAGCAAATTCATGTACCAATATCCTTCTTGTATTTTATGAAGTCTGGCGTCAATGCACCCTTTTATTAGGAAAAATCAGATTGCTCCGATGTAATAACTTAAACTATCAATGTATAGTAAAAATGATACATTTGTGCCAAATGCATCTTTACAGTACAGACTGTTTTTTATTCAATTTCTGAAATAAACAAACTTTTTAATGGCTGTATAATTTACTGAAGTGCTCCTGTGTTTATCAGTTTACCCCAACTGTATCTGCATTAATACAGACAACACGGTAATGAAAAAAGGACGAATGCTTTTAACATGAGGAACAGGAAGTTTTAGTAAATGTTCCAATGACTGCTGACCCATTGATCCGTGGCTCTGCTCCATTAGCACCATGTGTTGGAGGAGGGGGCTGTGGCCAGCCGCGACCCCTCCAGGAACCTCCCTTTCCAACGCTGATGAGGCCAAGTAGGATGGCAGGTGGGAGGTGGGCAGAAAAGCCGGGGTCAGTGGAATGCCCGGCTGAAGCGCTGGCAGCGACAAATGACTCTCGCCATCTTGGTGTCCCGATACTACCTACAAAGAGACAGACAAGGAAAGAAGTAGAGGAAAAGAGGGAGGCAGACAGTCAGAGTGGGAGAACAGTCAAATGTGAAACGTGGGCAGCGAGATGGAGAAAGATGGAAAGAGTCGCTAATGCCAGAAAATTGCTCTACTGTACACCAACTTGCCAAAAATACAACTCGCTGACTGTTTCCAAAACCATTAATTTTACAACAAACTCAGTTTCCTTCTTTCCAAATAGGCTCTTAGGTGACATTTTATTTTTGCATTATTTTCCTTGGAGCAACGATCAGAACAGCATTAGTCATGAATTTCTTTTAGCTTGTTTACTCACAGAGCTTGCAGGGCCCGAGGCGGGCAGTCCTAAAGTAATGTTGGGCAGAGAAGGCGATGTGTAGAGAGACAGCTGGCTGATCGAAACCTCCCTGCAAGCCAGCCTCTGAATCAGAGAGGCCTGCAAAAAAACAAAAACAAAAACCCAAATATATCTGTTAGCACTCGGTTAATACCATTTTCTTTATGCTTCTTTCTAGACACATGAAGATAAATTCTTTACATTCAGTCCCGAAATAATTTTATTTAATAACACTTTATAAATGTCTCGATTACACTTTAAAGTACCAACCCTGTTGTAGAGACATCTGCACCACATTTAAAGGTATAGTGGAGGATTTTCGAGAATTTTTGAAAAGACCCGCCCTCTGCACTTAAAAAAAATACACATGCACAACCCTGTACCCGCTACCGAGAGGAAGCGTCTATTAAACGTGTGCAAGAGCGTGCACAAGCCCATTTCTCCTCGTGCATGCTCTATTTAAAGGTTGCTGTTTGCATCGCTTATACAAAATTACTTTTCAAAAGAAGATTTGCAATTTTTCCACTATGTCGGAACCACCACAAGTAAGAGAAAATGAGGTCGAGCACGTAGGACGGCCTTACGTAAACATATCACCAGAATGATGAAACATAATAAACATAATAAACAGAATGATGAGACAAAATAAGGGGGACCGCTTATTTTGATGATCCACTCGGAAAAAGAACATCCTCCACTATACCTTTAGGATCTAACATGAATCTACAACACGCTAACAAGAGGGTTTCAACAATATTAATATTTTTTGACATGTTCATAATAAAAAAAAAAAAAATAAAATAAAAAAAAGATATCCTCTCCTTTATCCTGGCAACAAACACCAAGTTCTTTGATGTTGTTTTAGTGTTTGATATTGTTTTACCTTAAGAAAAAATGTAAATTAGCAATAGAAATGAGTTCAGATGCATCATTGGGATAACTGCATCACTTTATTTTTTTTGCTAAATAAAAAAATAAATAAAATAAATGCTACCAAACGCTTTGATCTGAAATGACAATAAATTCTACGACTGAATATTAATCCCAAAAGTTGCTTCAAATGATACAAATAATGAATGCTTTGGTCCTTATAAGGAAAACATTTTTTTCAAAACGCCTATAAAATAAAAGATAATATAAGAATTTTCTACAACATTCATATTAATCAAAAGGTCAATATCAGTTTTTCTTCTTATACCTTAATAGTTTTAACCACTTGGTTCTAATTTCATAAAACTTTGACCTTATAATAATATTTATAATAATAATTTCCTGATACATAAACTAAACTCTAACAGCTACACACTGTAACGTGAGAAGAGTGATGCGAATGTGCGGTTGCAGTGAAGCCCATGTGTGCAACCATACTGTTTACCTCTCCTGGGCTGTTAGAGATGGGGACGCCGTTTTCACTGGGGATGTTACTGGAGCTGTTGTTGGGGGAGCTGGGGCCCGAGCCTGGTGCACTGTTGCATGCAGAGTCTGTTACACACACAGTGCAGAAAAAAAAATATGACAACAAAATTGTTTTAGATGCTAACAAGCAGCTTAGCGTTGACTAATGAATCTATCCTGAAATAATTGGACTTTTAGAAACCAAACCCAACTAAAATAAATCATTGCACGAATTGTTTAGAAGATTCAATTTTGAAATAATATGTCACCGGATGTCATACTGATAGACTGAATCTAATTAGTGAGTTTCCCTGTGGACTATCTGCTGAGATTGTTCTGCTTTAATAATGTTACAACTATATAGTGATTAATCCTGGTCACGTCATTACATTAAATCAACAAATAAAAATAACATACTTCATAATAGGTACAGTGACCTCACCCACATATAATTAAAACTGGTTGCATCACACAAAATAAGGCAGAAATGTTTGGCAGTTGGTTCCCTTCGGCTAAAGCGTGTCTTCATGATAACATCTTAGACTGTGGTTTGGGATTTTTATGGTACTGGAAAAGGATCGTAATCTAGCAATTTCTAACAGGGTGAGTTTTCCCAAATGAACCCAACTTCAGACATGTGTTCAGCAGCCTAATCACAAGACATGTGGCTGCCATTTATACAGACAATGATATAAAACCATGTTTTATGTGCTTACATAATTAATAGATCCAGCAAGATTATGTTCTAATCTGATATTTTCTGAACCAAAGGAGGAGTGATCAAAGTTGGCTTCAGTTCTTCTATTGGAAGAACTGATTATGCTTTAAATCTGGGTGTAGTGGTGAACCTTTAGAGGCACTGTGGCAAAAGTCTTCCCCTTATCACATGAGGAGCATTTCCAGGATTAAAGGACTAACTTCTCAGCAGGACCTTGGAAAATTACTTCATGCGGTCATGTTTGGTAGAATCGATAACTGCAACTGTGTCTTTAAAGGTCTGCCTACAAAGTCAATCGAATCACTACAGTTTATCCAGAATGCTGCTCCTCACCAAAAATAAACAAGTGGAGCAAATCCCCCCAGTTCTAAAATCATTACCCTGCTTCCCTGTAACACAGAGACTTTAAAATATTCCTGTTCGTCTGTAAATTAAAGCTTTTTCGCCAAAATGCAAAAGAGATTAGCTGTCATAGCATCAACCTTCATGACCTCTCAAGCTTTTTCTATTTCATGTCTGCTCGGCCCAGGTCTAGAAGACAGTAAAAGTGCTAAAACCATGAGTTGGATTAAACCAAGGTGGCCTAGTGATTAGAGCATTGCACTTGGAATCTTCAAGCCCCACTCCCACAGACTGCCAATCTTGGTCCCTGAGGAAGGCTCTTAACCCCGACACTGCTCCCCAGGCGCTGCACAATGGAAGCCCCCTGCTACCCGAAGGAGATCGGTCAAATGCAGAGAGTTAATTTAATTGCTCTGTACTTGTCACTAGAAATATATATTTTTTTAATATTTATGGAATTATCATTTTAACATATCAAATATCTTTATTGCTCCGTAAACACAAGGAAAACTTCTTTTGGGCATTTTTTTTTTCTGGGAACGGTCTGAGACGCTTATTTTTACTTCTGTCTTACGTTCCCAATATACTTCCTGTTTTCTTTTGCATGTATGGCACTTTGAACTGTCCTCCTACTGATATCTGCTATACAGATAAACTTGCCTCATTTTCTACTCTTAAGTTCATTTAACTGAGAAAGTGATCTCACCAGCGATGTCGAGGGATCTCTTCTTGGCACTAGTGATTTGTCCATCTTTCCTGCGGAGCAGAGGGCTGCTTCGGCGCTCCGTCACTTTCTGCTTTAACCACGAACGACGCTTCAGGTTGGGCTCGGATGCTGATGGATTAAAGGTAAAAAAAAAAAAAGTTTTTTAAAGTAGGTCAGAAACATAGTAGAAAAAAAAATATTTCACTCTTTAATTAAAATGAAAGAGTGAAATAATGTATCAATCCATTTATCAAACAAAGGTAAGGAAAAGTCAAAGCCCCCTGTTTCCTGGTATGATCTGTTCTGCAGGCTAACATTTAGAATCAGCTGCAGTCTGCCTGACTTCACACTTGGTTGCAGAAGTCTGACCTCCTCTTCTATGCAATGTTCAGATTTCTGAAGTTTGCTAATGTTTGTTTATGCAGAGATGACTGACAATGACTGACTTTTTCATTCATTCTGTCTATTTATGCAACTGTAGTAGATATATTGTATGTACTTGTAAATAATTTAAGCCTAGTCTCTGCTGTCAAACAAATGACTTTACATTTAACACTAGAACACTCTGGTAACCTTAGAAGCTCTAGCTTGACTTAATACCTGCATCAGTCTGGTGGCTGCAAATCAAACCCAAATCATCACCATGCTTGAGAGCAGCTTCAGGTGATACATTTAGTTTTGAGAAGTTCTTTATGTCAAAAAATAATAAAGTCGGGCTTCTCTGCTTCATCCAGTTTAAACTTAATGAACTTAAGTTGCAATATAACTTTAATGGTCAAATAAGCCAGACACACTTATTCAGTCTTGCTCTAATTGTCCTGAATGTCATTCACTTCATTATTTTAACTGATCCATTTTTTTTATCAGTTCTATACCCAGGACAAATTTAACTGGAATAAACTCTACAGACATCCTTTCTGAAGATTTGTAGATTTTATTTTCCATTTGTAAATAATTTTAATTTTTCACAATAGTGGAAACTAAATACCTTTGAAATGTTTCCCTAATAGTATATTCCGTCTCTGTGTTATCCTAAAAAAACAACTACAACAACAATAATTTCCTTGACCAGCACATTTTACAGAAAAATAAAAAATACTTAAAACTCATTTGTTTATAACGCTTCCATCTTTACAATGCTACTGCAATATAACCTGGTGTAATCACACTGCAATAACATTTACTATTAATCTGTTTAACAAACCAGAAACTGCCAGCACTTTACTTTATAATAAGATACTTTATAATAAGATACATAAGATACTGTATATATAAGTCACATTCAATCTCTCAATTTTTTACCATCTACAGTACTGTATATATCTGTATATACTTCATTCACCTTTTCCTTTGTTGTGCACTTCCTGTTTGTTTATAAGAGTCAATGTCAAAATTTAATTTGTGAGATCGATAAAGTTCTATTCAATCATTCAAAGTGCATTTCAACTTCTACTTTAATTCTACTGCCCAAACTAATATGAAACACAGAAGCACATTTTAGTCAGAAATATTTAGATATCTAGATATGTAAAACTCTAAAATAGAAGTGAGGGAATTATTTTTTACCTCGACTCTAAATGTGATATCCACAGTCATGTGAAAAATAAGATATATTAATAAACATTTAGTATTTTCTCCAGAAATACTGTAACTTTATAGATGAAATGTTCCTAAACAGAATAATAATTCTGGTTTCACTTATTGAACAGAATTTATACAAAGAAGTGTTTTATAACTTAAACAAAATTATTGCTTCCATTTCCATGTCACTAGCTTCAGATATAAGAACTTCAGAGAAGGGATCATCTTAGCCATTGATCAGTGTCTTATGTCAGGCTGAGGAAGATTTATTCCATTGTTGCAGGTCAACCCACAACATTTCAGCTTTTTTTAAGCTTTATTTAACCTAAAGGTCCCATTGTGATTTAGAAACTCTTTTACAAGAAAGATGCCAAATCACAACATCCTTAATAAACATCAAGTTACATTTCCATGATAAAAGTAGTATAAAATGTAAAAACAATGAGAATCTTAAGGAAAACAAGTGCATGTCTCCATCATATTTGCAATACCTTTCAATGAATTAATGGCATGAGGGTTTCTAAATTTAGATTATTGTAGATTATTCCATCCCCAAAGTACTGAATAAAAAATTAGTTTTTCCCCAAGTCAGTGTCACATGTAAAAGAATCCACTTTGAGGAGTGTAGTGAAAATGTACCAGAGCAAACAGAGAGGAGGTCACAGAGGTACAGCTGAAGTTCACCAAGTATACCTTTATAGATAAGAGTCAAAATGGTAAAGATCCAAGCCTAAACTCCATTCATCCACTTTCATTTCACTTGTATTTACTTGGATTTCTCTAACATTTGACTGTGGTGTAAAATATCCAGACAGTAAAAAAAGGAGTGTGAGTTTTCCCCCCATACAGTTGCACCAATATCTACATGTCACACTATAAAACGCCAGGCTGATTAATTTTTCACCTTTACACTGATTCTAAAAATATTGTATGTGTTGCAAGTAAGACTATGAGTCTCAATAAGAGCTGTAAAGACTGAAGCACCTCTAACATGGCCTGCTTCTCAACTTTATTGTACAGTAAATTGCAAGGTTACACAAGCAGGATTTTGTTTGTTAGCATCTATTGGTGCTAATGAGCTTGTCCATATAGGCCAATGAGTATGTGCCAGCCAAGAGATTCAGAAGCAGTGGTTCCCCGTCTACATGTGACAGTGGGAGGCACAGCAACAATAGAGGAAGCAGCCAACTGGCAGCATCCTTGACCCTGTGCTTAATGACGCCACCTTCATGCTTTGCTAATGAACACTGGTAGTTTTCAGACACTTCCAATTACATAGAAAACTTCTTTCTTTTACAAATAAGTAACAGGCAAGCTGAGGTCATGATTTGTTGGTCTAAACCTGCTAAAGTGCAATCTTGTTGGAGATCCCAAGCAGCAGGCACGAGAGGCACACAGAGGGCAAAAGAGGTAAGCCCGGGGCAAAGTCTGGGAGTCGTGTCATGGACAGGGCAAGGCCTTTTTGGGACAAACTCTGCTTTGGTGTCTCTCCGCCAGACAATGCCAGCCACTAGCAGTTTCATCCCCTCCTCCACGGGTTGCCCTCACTCAGTTAAAGCTGGAGGGTTGACCCGGATCTGACCCAATGCTCGTCCCATGACCTCGTACAGTATCAAGCAAACTGCTACGTTCATTAGCCTCAGAGCAGGAGGTGGGGCATTTTGGTACAACCAAGTGGAAGCAATTTATTCTTTGTATACAGTAGTGATTTATTCAGGAATACAAGATTTATTCTGGGTCATTACAATCGAAGAGAAGCACCAAAGTTTTTTCTGTGCTTCAAAGAAGTGCAAAGCTCTCATTATACCTTCTCATCCAAGGGGATGAGAAAAACTATTGTGAAGCTATCACGTCCAAATGCCTTTTCAAATACACAGTTAGTTTAGAGGGGAACAATGCAGCTCAACTTGTGAAACTCAATTACTGCTTTGAAAAAAGTTCTGCCCTGATAAGTAGAGTGCACTTCTCAGCTGTCTTTGTTAACAGGGATGAGGGCAGTTAGGGTAAAATGCTATGTATTAGTAGCAATGGGCCCAGCTGTGGGACACCATGAGAAGTTAACCGCAAGAAAAGCATCTTAGTCTGTTTAAAGCTACTGAAGAAGAAATTTAGTTGGATATTGACACAGACGTAAAATTTTACCATTGATTAGGGGAATAAATCAAGATCTCTTTTTACTTAATTCTAATTAAATACAATTTATACAATTAAAAAACAATATACATTGTAAAACAGGCACAGCATACGTCCAGCTGTTGTATAACCCAGATGTCCCCAATTATTTGATCACCTTATTTATTACAGATGTTTTCTGAAGTAAATCTCATAACTGTACTGGATATATTTTGTATGCTTTCTCTGAGGTTTTAAATATCACATAAAAAACACACATCTGCTCCTGATCAGTCCCCTTAAATTAAATTAATAAACTTTGGATAAAAAGTATCAATATGTCAGCGTTTATTTAGGCCAACATTAAAAAGAACAGTGTGATAAAAACAGTACTCAGAGTTTAAAAACCTCTTGAACCAACTTTAGGCTTGGATGCAACCATCTTCTGATACCTTTTTAAGGGCAACATAGTTGCTTAGACAAAAAGCTATAGAAATGTGGCCCATCAGTCCCCCCAATGTTAGTAATTATTCTGATAAGCAATTGGTTTTGGTTGGGGAAAGAAATAAAATCTGTCAGCGTAATGACGCTTAAGTTGGTATTAAATTTGGGATTCCCATTTGATCAATTGTAGTTCAAACAAAAGAAATGCAGAAAATCTGAGCTGAATTGTTCTACACCAGTATTGCTCATGTCTAGAACAACTATCTTTAGAATAATCCAATCTAGCAGTGGCCGAATTCCCTCATTATTCATGTTATTCAACCCTTCAGATGCCATTTATTTGACTGAGGTGTTTTGAAGAAGGAATGGATTTCAAGGTTGTTGGATAGCAGCCTTCAGTGGCGCAGTGGGTAGCACTGCTGCCTTGCAGCAAGAAGGTTCTGGGTTCAACTCCTGGCCCGGAGTTTCTGCATGGAGTTTGCATGGTCTCCCTGAGCATCCATGGGTTCTCTCTGGGTACTGTGGCTACCTCCAACAGTACAAAAACATGACTGTTAGGTTAATTGGGTTCTCTAAATTCTCCTTAGGTTGTTTGTCTCTGTGTTGCCCTGCGATGGACTGACAACCTGTCCAGGGTGTACCCTGCCTCTTACCCATTGACAGCTGGAGACCAGCACCCCTCATGACCCCACTTGTAAAGAAAATGGATCGATGGATAGCCGGCTTTAAGGTGCCCCTTTTTTAACAATTAATGAAAGGCATGATACATTTTTTTTTTGCTATTTTCTAACAAAAAACCAAGAAGCCTTATTTATATTTTTTGGTTATACAAACACCTTATAATTAAAGTAATGTAAAGCTATAAAGCACAGAAAGGTAAAAACTGGCCCACATATTCTGGATGCAGAAGAAGGGTGTTGTTCTTTTGCTGTCATGCAAGAATTGTTACTGTCCAACTTTACATTTAGAAAGCTAATCCAGGCCTGAAATGT